GTATATACACACACATTCCATGATCTTATCTTCTCCTTCCTTCCTTCTTTCCTTCCTTCCTTCTTTCCTTCCTTCTTCCCTCCCTCCCTCCCCTCTCTTCTCTCTTTCCTCTCTCCTTTCTCTCTCACATACACACACACAGACACACACACACACACACACACACACACACACACACTTTCTTTCTGCTGGTCCTGGGGCTTGTCACTGAGCTTCTCTTGCTCAAAGTTACCGCTTGAGCAGTAGCTCCGCTTCTGGTTTTCTGGTGGTTAATTGGAGGTAAGATTCTCATGGACATTCTTGTCCAGGCTAACTTTAAATTTCAATCCTCAGGTCTCAACCTCCTGAATAGTTAGGATTACAAGCATGAGCCACCGGTGCCTGGTTTGTGATTTTTCTTGTCTATCAGGTTAACTTTACTCAGTACATTGCTCAGTACAGAGCTAACTCTGTAACAAGACATATTTTTTTTACCTTGTTTCATTTTTGAGAATGGGAATATTATAGTCTATAAATGTAAATATCTGAAAGTTTTACTTTTTTTTTGTCCAGTGCTAGGGCTCCAACTCAGGATTATTTCTTACCTTCTTCTTTTAGCTCTAGGGAAACAGCAGACAGTCAAAACCATTGTTTCTCCCTGAGATGGAGGAGGAATAAATACATGACACAGATCCAGTCACTAGGATTAATACATTTTAAAGTATTTAGAATTTCTCGGGACAACGAATACAACACCTCCTCTGTGACAGATGAAACATAATTCAGGTCTCATGGAAGAGGAGAGCATCACCAGCATCTCCTCAAAGGAGCAGAATGTTAAGTAGAATGTAGACCCGGGGGGTAGATTTGCACATGTATAGTTGCTATTTCCACTACTGGGAGATTTAGAAAATAACACATTTTACCCAGCTTCATGTACATGATCAGAACAGACCCCATCCTGCTTACCTTCATTCTGGTTACTTTGGACCATTTTTTCCTGGTGGTCATGGGGTTTAAACTCTGGGCCTGCGTGCTGTTCCTGAGCTCTTCAGCTCAAGGTTAGTGCTCTACCACTTGAACCACAGCACCACTTCTGGTTTTCTGAGTGGATTATTAGTGATAAGAGTCTCATGGCCTTTCCTGCCTGGGCTGGCTTTGAACCTCGATCCTCAGATCTCAGCCTCCTGAGTAACTAGGATTATAGGCGTGAGCCAGTGGCCCCTGGCCTTTCCTGAGCTCTTTTGCTAACACTCTAGAACTCTACCACTTTGAGCTAGAGTGCCACTTTCCTGGTGGTTAATTGGAGATAAGAGCCAGGGATTTTTCTGCCTGGGCAGGAATTCTCAGATTCAATGCAGTCCTCAGATCTCAGCCTCTTGAGTAGCTAAGATAGTGGTTGGCCTGGCTATTTTTTCTTTCTTCAGGGGAGGAGGAAAGATAGGAAAAAGAGTGTAGGGAAAAAAAAGAAAGAAAAATAGAGGAGGGTGTATGGAGTAGGGAAGGGAGAGAGAGAGAGAGTTAATTTTTTTATATGAAAGAAGTAGGTTGTTCCCTAACTGAAAACACAGAACGACTTCCAAAAGCACTGATTTCTAAAGCCCAATTCTTTCAGGTTTCAAAAGTGCTACACATATGGGTCAGCCGGCAAATCAAGTAAGTGTCTGTCCTTTGCTATTTCCCACACTTCCTAGAGTAGAGGCTCCCCTAGGCCTGTGGATGAGCTACAAGCAACGATTCGCCTGTTTTCTTAACATGGTTTGGCCTAGAGTTGTCGGCTTTGGCCTGATTTCCCAGTGAACTGTCAAAGAGCCTCACAACTTAGCGCTGGGCACACACTCTGTTGGGTAGGGCTGTGAACCAAACTGGGCCTTGGCTCTTCTACAGAAAAAAAAAAAAAAAAAACTATTCTAAGTAACCAGAGTGAAAGGAAGTGGGGTGGAACTGTTCTGATTGTGCCAGTAAACCTGGCTAAAATGTGTCACTTTCTAAGTCCCCTATAATGGAAATAGAAGTGATAAATGTGTAATGAAAGAATCAAAGAAAAACTAACAGGTCTTAAATTCTACATAAATTTACTGACCTGCCCCTTTTGTGGGAGAAAGGGTCGGGGGAATGTTGATGAGTTCTTTCTAAGGAAACCTGTATCACTATTAATCTGCCATGGAGTTTGGCTTTGCATCAGCTATCCTGAGACGTTCCAAGAACTTCAAAATGCATTCATCCCAGTGAACTGGATGTGTGTCATATTTTCATTCCTAATGTTTTGGCAAAATAGTCTCATGTCACTGGCTTAATTGGTGGCAGGTTATTTTCCAGTTGTCAAATAATCTTTTCCTATTTTAAGAGACAGAAACATTTACTCATAAAGGAATTGGATCGTTTGGAACATGAACAATATAAGTATTTATTTGAAAAACATTTTCCATCTATGTCAAATAGCCAATCAGCAACAAACAGTAGCTTCTTCCTGCTAATTCTCATTTGCTCTCTCAGTCACTTATCAATCATATTCAAAAAATTTACTGCAGAAAACTGTTTCACAAATATTTTTAGAAAAAATATAGATAGTCTCTCGAAAAGAAAGTTAATTAAAACATCAGAGATCAGCAATAGAAAGCTAAGATACGAAATGATTTGACATTTGTAAACACAAATAAATAAATATATACAGAAAATTCTATGCCAATAACAAAAACAATCTTTACAATGTAAGAAATAAATGACAAGAATGAAACTAACTCAAGGCTCCTAGAACAAAACTCTAACACAATACAGTTAAAAAGTGAGGAGACACAATCTGAATTGAGACCATTCTCAAAGCTGTGTGCAGGTTGAATTTTGAACCCTCAGTTAAATGTCTGCCTCTTTCTTCTGAGTGGCTAAATGCAGAGCTACACCCTTTGATCTGAGGGATGGGAATTTGGTTCGGTCTTTGAGATCTGCTTTCAAATGTTTCTATTCTGCACGTTTTTCATTTTTCTTTGCTTGATTATTAAAATTTTCTCTCAACTGGAACTGACAATGTTGCCAAAATATGAAAAAAATTATTTTCTCAAATCTGGATGCTTATGAATACAAATCAAAAGTGAGGCCAGTTTTTGAAGCTTTATCTTAATCACTATTAACTAAATATGTACTTTGTATAGAAATATCATCGTGAAAAGCTAATTAAAATTTATTGTGGATATCTAAGGTTGGGGAAAATATATGAATATTCAGTGCCTAAAATTAACTTCAATCTATGTGTATGTGCCTATGGCACAATATGTAGTTGGTTAATATATCCCTAAAGGAAAGGATTTGGCTCTACTCTAGTGAATCTGTGTGACCTTAACATTTACTCTCATTTTTTCTTGAGCACCCCAACTCTCGATGAAAGCCATGCTGGGCAGAGCTCCAATTCTTCACTTTGGCTATCAAGGCTAATGCAAATGGAACTTCTATCAACCACGCTACCATCTTTTCATCCTTTCCAGCTGGGCAAAACACTGCATAATTGAAGCTCAGTAAGGGGTGAGAGGCTCCAGAAGCTGCAACCCCTCCTACATCTCAGATTGAGACTTATCTCTGCACACAGGAAAGGCCTCCAGGGCTCCATGCTGGCCTCTGCTTTGAGCAGAGGGTCTGGCTCTGCTAGATCCACGGCTTTCTCCTCACTTGTGCTTTGCTGCTGCTTCCTTGAACCTGGTACTTTCCAGAGCACCCAAAACGAACTGAGGAAAAGGACAGTATGCATGGAGTCCCATTTTTATGAAACTAGATAGGAATCTAACATTGAACAACAATTAAGAGGTGATATACACCTTAGTTAACAAGCTAGCATTGTTCAGGCTAGTATGAGAGGGAGCTAAACTGCCTAGTGTCACACATGACTCGTCTGCAGCAGCCTAGGCTATAAATACCATACCATTGACCGTGCTGGGCCTCCTCAGATACTTAGACAATGTAATCAGAGGACTCATATATGCTAGCAGTACAGACTTGCAAACTGATAAATTACTTTGTTATTGAGATAACCATGGGTCTCAGTGAGATTCCTTGGGGCAAAGTTCTTACTAGGGGGAGAAAGAGTTCTTCACTCATGTGACTGAAAATGTCTTGAAACTCGTAAGAGCGAGAACAGGACCACAGAATCTCAAACGCATGTTTCCTAAAAAGGAAGACAATTGTACAATACATTGCATGCTTGATAGAATTTCTCTTCCTTCTCTGCTGAGCGCAATGGAGAAAAAACAGGGAGGAAAAAAAGTATACCTGGCTCATTCCTAACTATTGGGAAGTTCCTAATACTGGAATGTCCACACTATACTGCATTCAGATATGTGGGATTAAATAATAATTAAGGATTTAGCTTAATCTTCATGTATAATTTAAAATTGATGATAATGTTTAAGCTATGTGTGTTGACTAAAACGAAGGCAATACTAGAAATTCTTGTGGTCTCAAAGGAACTAGATTAATATTGTGGGAAGATTTTCTTAAGCATGTTACAGTCCTGAAAGTTAAATGTTTAAATGAGTTTCAATCTTTGTGTCCAGTTCTTTCTTTCTTTCTTTTTGTTGGTCGTAGGGCTTGAACTCAGGGCCTAGGCACTGTCCCTGATTTTTTTTGCTTAAGGCTAGTGCTCTATTATTTTGAGCCACAGATCTACTTTTGGCTTTCTGGTGGTTAACTGAAGATAGAGAGGCTCATGGACTTTCCTGCCTGAGCTGGCTTTGAACCGCAATCCTCAGATCTCATCCTCCTGAGTAACTTGGATTACAGGTGTGAGCCACCAGCGCCCAGCAGTTTGTGTCCAATCTCAACATGCTTTTCTATCTAGGGTGGGAATTTCACTGCCAAAAAAAAGTGTTGCTGCATTAATAGGAAACAGCACCTGGATGTAATCTGTGGGCATCTAATAGTTGGCTATACCAATGTGTGTACTGTTGAGAAAGATGACTGAAAATGGGGAAACCCATTTCCAGGCTTCACAATGAAGTGTGGGGTTTAAAATCAAGCCTAATTTACCCTTGGCTTTGATCCTCCCTTGTGCTCTAAGCTTCCTCTCTCCCTCCCCTTGACTTCAGATGAGTGCCATTCAATGACTCATCCTAAGAAATCTTCTGTCCTCCGGTTCCTGAGTAAAGTTGCTCTCAGTAGTGAAGCTGTTAGTGATGGTTGAGCCTCCTCCATGGAAGAAATATACCAAAAGAATGAGTTCGGAACGCACGAAAGACTTCTTCACAAAAGACATTCCTCATCTCCATGCAGGTGTCTTGGTCGTAGCCCATTTACATAGGCTAGTAGTAGTTTTCACGGCTTGCACATCTTCACATTTCTGCAGACTGATTATCCTACGTATTTTTTTCACTTCTTGAATTAAAGACACTAAAACTTTGTGCTGTGGCTGAAGGTGTCTGACATGATGATATTTTTATAGAAATTATCGGAGTGAGCATTACAATAACCCTTGACCTTATCAATGACCTGATGGACAGGGATGATTGATGTTTGTTCTCCATCACCATGGGCCAGTTTCGACAAGGACTTCTCCATGGAAGCACTGTCTGTAAGAGATGACACGAGAAATGAGGCTGTGTGAGGAGCGAGGGACAGCTGCAAGGCCCCCAGGCTGTACTCTCCGTTTTGCACATTCAAGAAGTACAGAAAGGAATTGAAGCTCTGTTTCTTTTATAGGATGGATAGCAGGTAGCCCTTACATTTCATGGGTTTTTTTTTCCAGTGCACTCTCAATATTCACTAAATGTCAATTTGCCTTCTAGGCATTTGTGTTGTGTTTTGTTACAGGAAAGCCCACTTTGAACACATTTCCTGTGGTTTTTACATTGTGAAATAAAGAGAAATAGCAAAAAATGGTGTTTTTAATGAAGTGTCAATTATAGAAATCAAAATTTTCTCTATCAGAAGTATTTAAAACTATAATTTTGGCAATGATATTAGAGAAACTGATAGTAATATCATATGTATTAATATTGTTTCTCCAAATTCAAAGGCTTCCTTACTTTGTTTCAGCTAGTGCTCTGAAACAATCCATGACTGACTTTATATACTCTATGGATATCATAAATATCTACCCTTTGCCCATTCCTAATATACTTTGGAGAAAAGCCATATCCTTATATTAAAGAAATTACAGCTTTGACTGTAACGAAGGACAAAATACAGCCTTCTGTATAGGTGTGTCCTCTCCATATACTGTAGGAGAGGTAAGCTATTCCGAAACACTGCTTTCTGAAAGCATTGCTCCAAAATTAGAATATTTACTTCAAGTCTTCTGTTTTGAGAATGGTAAAAATAGAAAAATGGGCCAGGAGCCAGTGGCTCTCATCTTTGTTACTCAAAACTCAGAGGCCTAAGAATCATAGTTTGAAGGCAGCCTGGGTAACAAATCTGAGAGAATCAATTATCAGCCATGGGGGAAAAAGTCAGTAAAAACCCTACAGACCTGAGTTCAAGGTCCAAGCTCCAACACACACACACACATACACACACACACACACACACGCGTGCATGCACGCGTGTACATGCATGCACACATACACACAGAGAGAAACAAGAAATGTCATTTTGTTCAAAGGAAGCAGATGAAGAAAAGATGGCAGATGGCAGATTGAAAGAATGGGCAGACGGAAGCATGGTGGAATGACTGAAGCATGTCCCAGAGCTGGGGAGGAGAATCCTGGAGGAATCATGGCACACACCCACACCTCTCTTGAATAGAGTGCTTGACTCTATTCAAGTTCAGATAGTTGAGAGCCACTGGTTTTGAGGGACATATGTATCGTGCTATAAATATCAATAATGAGTAACTGCACCTGATTTTTTTTAGAAGATCGTATTTTTACAGAAATGTTGAAGATGTATTCTTTCTGCTTCCTGGACAACTTTCAGGGGTGTATGCTTATACAGACTGTGACCAGCTGTGGTCCAAAGAAATGATCCAATTTGATGGATCTTCACAGTCTAATACAGAAAATTTCTGAACAACAGATGTGTGTGTGTGCACATGTATTTTTCTGTGTGTGCACATACATACTATTCCAAGTTTTCTGGATAGATATTATAATAAAAATTTCAATTATTGCTGAATACCTGAAAACCAGGGGCTAGAGAAATGAACTTATTTGACTCATGCTACAATAATTTCAAGCAAATAAAATCCTCAAAGCAGCTTGCAATTGATAATTTCTATTTCATGACTTCTATGAATGTACCATGACGTACTCAGTCATCCACAGGAGCAGTAAAAAAATTATATTCTTCTATAATGAATTCTCTCAAATATCACTTTTTAAATCACCTTTCTTTATATAGGACCTGCCACTCCAGAGCGTGGTACATTTTCTAGAAGAATCTATTTGCACACCCCATGCAGAGAAAAGCCAGCGGAGCCCAATGCCACCTAAATTTCAGGAGGTCCAGCTCGGTATGTGAATATCATTGCGCTATCTCTACAGTATTGTAAAGAACAAGCCATTTTGCTGGTGCAGCAGAACCTTAGCTTAATCCATGCAAACATTCCCTTATTACCTTCAAAAGTACATGCATCAAAAAAGTAATGAAACTTTACCTGAATGATCCTCTTTTGTTGAAGGAAAGCTCTTAGGAGATATTATCTATACCATAAACACATGAATGTCTAGATCAATTCCAAGACATATACCAACTACATATTTCTAAGGATATGCGGTGAATTCTTGCATACCCTCCAAGTGATCCCCAGTATGACAGCAGTACCCGCAAGAATCGGCTGTAGGCTTAATGTAATATATCATGTAAGTAATGCTATTTAATTTATCATGTAAGTAATGCTATCATTTTCATGCGAGTGGACAAGAATCCACTTAACATCATCTTTTTTGTCTGTAAGATCCTGTCTCACCCTTTAGAAAGCTGAACATGGTGGTATGTACCTGTTATCCCAACTACACAGGAAGTGTAAATAGGAGGATCACTGTCCAGGATAGCCTAGGCATAAACACCAAACCCTCTCTCAAAATAACTGAAGCAAAAAATGGGCTGGAGGTTTGGCTCAGGTAGAATTGTGCCTACCTAGTAAGTACAAGGCCCTGAGTTGAAACCTAATTACTATTGTGTGTGCGCGCGCGTGTGTGTGTGTGTGTGTGTGTGTGTTTGCTTTAAGTACCTCCATTTTTGCCTTCCTTCTTTTATCTTATAGTCAGTTTTCTCTAGGATCCTACCATTGTCTTTCCTTAAGATTTCCAAAATGTCCCATGTGCCAAATATTCTACCTTATTATTTTCTCTTTCTTATCAAGACAGGCATTTCTTCACACTAGCTTTACTCAGGTGTACTAAAAGGAAAGCAGTTCACTTGTTCCAAATGGGTTTTCATTCATAACTTACACATAATGCATCAATCATTTTCATTTTTAGAAAAGGAGTCTCAGTGAGTAATTTTAAGTATGGTTAAGTAAAGTAGAAAAAAATTCATCACAAGTAAAGGATTTTTGTGCCAGGGTATGACCACGTAGGCAAAATAATTGAAGTTAGACTTCACACCTCTCCTTAGGCTCCTTCCATAGGTAGAGAAGAGAATCCACAATCATTGTCACAGTATTGTCACAAAGGCTATGGCTATACCAATGGCAAAATTCAGGAAATAATACAAGCAGGCATAATGCATGCAAGCATGTGGAAGAATATAAGCTTATAAAAGGTTCCTTTGTAATTCAAGTGTCTGTAATATGCAAAATTATAGACACATCACACACCTTGTTTGCAAAAAGTAAAATATTAGTCTTTTCTGTGCCAGTCCCCTTTCTCATGTTTAATGGCTACACAAATTTAAAAAGATATTTTCATTGTGCAGTTAGAAGTAATTTTAAATAGGAATATCATGTGTGCTCAAAATTGGTGGACAGTTCTCTGCTGTGGGATTTAATTAATATTCAAAAGCAGCAATTTTATTATTTCCCTTTGGAATGTCAAGTAATATATAATATTCTTTATTGCCAAGATGTCTTTGGGATTATTCATGTAAATTCTCATTTTCAGACTATGTGGTCCTTGTAACTATGACCTCAACCTGGGACAGGAACAGGAAGCGAGACATAGTACTGTGTAATAGTCAGTCATCACTTTCTGAGTACCACGCCCTCTGTCCTTTCCCCTTGAGTCAGTGAGCTAAGGTACAGCAGCCTATAACACTAAGGAAACAGAGCCTCAAACAACACGTGCATTCCAGGTGAGGCTGCTTCCTGATGCCATGACACTGTGTCAAGCAACCTCCTCCACTGAACTGTGAAGCGCTTGGCCATTTAATCAATATTTTAAAGTGATAAGATGGGACTTGCTCAAAACAAAATATCCTAATTTTCAAAGGCAATTAAGTTTCAAATCAAGGAATGAAGTTGCCATGATTTTCAGAGTTGATGAAAGCTTGGCTAGGTTGACACAGATGGGTTACAGAATTTTAAAAAGAATGAAATATGCATGAAGTTTGTTGGATAAAGTGTTAAGACAGATACCTGTTTTCTGAAGCACTGGGAACCATAATTCATGTCACCATGGGTGACTTTTGCTGTGGAAGCCTGCCAAAGGGAACGATGCCAAAGGGCATCCTCATGATGGCGGGAATGACTCACCCGTGTTGCTGTCCCTTTTGAAATAGGTAGTGCAGCTGGATTTGGATTTAGATGTGAGATAGGTTGAGTTGGAGCCAATGGAACTTGAGGACAAAGATTTTCCTAGATTATCAGAACTTTTCTTGATGATATTGGTAGCTGTCTTACTCCAATCTGAAAGAAATGGCAAGGGTTTACCAAGGGCTTTGCCCTGAGAAGCCAACACTAGATTGCTTAATTTATCCAAAATATCTGATATTCTGGCAAGAGCTCAAAGAAGATACTGACATACCAACAATAGTAAACCTAAGAAACAGAAGTTTCCTACTCTGATCATATGAATGTATTCCTTAAAATTTCATGTGATCATTTTTAAGGATCAGAAGTAAACACTGAAAAAAAGTGAATACTTTTCTCTATTTTTTCCCCTTGCACCGAGAAACATCTCTTCAATCTAAAGATGTAACAGAGAATTTTAAAAGTGTGGAAAGATAGGTATGGCGTAGAGGAACTCTGGTTTCCAAGTTACCAAGTTACACATCGTATGTTTGGTGGCTCAGGGAACCTATCTGGAGCTCACAAATCATCTCTGTGAAATAGGAGAGTTGAACGTTAACTTCTCAGATATCTTCTTGCCCAAAATACTCTCATATTCTAACTAAGCATCTTCACATGTCCTACTTGATTGCTGATGTCCTTGAAACTGGGTTGCTCTGACAATGGAAGGTCAAACATCAACCATCTCTGACCAGGTATTAAACCCAATTAGCCCCATGCCCCTTTACCTGAGTTGTCTGCTAATCGGAATCTGCCACAGCACAGGTGCCGCCTCCATTGCTTCTGAACATTCTCCTTCATGGCACAGTGGAAGATAAATATAAACAAGCCTGTGGCAAACCAAAATACAGGCTTTTAAATGAGATGGCACATTTGAAGTGACAGATCTTATCAAACATGTGGATTCACTTTTAATATTTTTTTTTTTACCAAATCACTAGAGAACACATCTCAAGTGACTTAGATCTGGATGAGAGATAGGTGGAGTTGGAACCACAAGCATTTGAAAGCAAAGGTTTTCCTAGATTGTCACAACTTTCCTTGGTGATCTTGGTAGCTGTTTTACTACAATTGGAAAGAAATGGCATTGCTTGACCAATTTGCTTTACGGGGAATATGCTTTGCCCTGAGAAATCTTGACTCAGGTTGTAGACTCTTAATCCTATAGACAAGAAAACACTGTCTGATAAAAACCAGAATGAGTGCAGTACATCGATCAGATTCTGTCTTTGCCTGTTCTGTTCAGCATTCCTATGACTTAACTTAAGAACCAAGTTAATTTAACCATTTAATTTAAGCATTCAATCCTTTCCTGGTCTTTGTCTTAAAGTTACATAAAAATGTAACATAAAATTTTGAATAAAGGAAAAGAAAATCTCAGAAAATGCCTAGGAGCTCATAATGTGCTTTGATTTATAACATTTAACTTAATTTATGCATATTCGTTATTGTAGTTATAACCACAGTAGGTTAGGTTATACCATAGAAAAATGGTCATTTTGCAGGTCAACCACAGCAGTCATGTGGTTTCGCATGGCTGACTTTAGTTTCTCAACACTGTAACATAGAATTATTTCCTTATTCGGAAGTAATCTTCATAATCAAAACCTAACTGTGTCACTTGTATTGTAGACACCACCTACTTTTAACTTACAGGGAATGTGTTCCTGACTTCTAACCCTCTCTTCGAATTTCTCATGAATTTCTACCTCCAGTCCTTTATACTGCTCTTTCCCATTCGCTAGGGAGCACGTTCTAGTAACTCCATTAACCTCTAATCATTCACTTTCAATGTTTTCCCAGGCAAATTTGAAATGATGAACTTTGGCTATCACCACTTCTTTCATATCATCTTTGTCCAAATTAATCCCAACAGGCCACTATCCACATCCATGACCCCAATACAGCTGTTCTGGGAAGGCACAGGAACTCTATCTTGCAAATACATTTACCCATGAGGGCTTCTGGTGCTATGGGCTGGGGAGGAAGAGTCCGTAGGAAGGTGACTGCTTGATCAATGACCTGGCTAGGATCTCTTTCCACCCCCAGATGTCCTCAGGACTAAGCACTGAATGATGGGCCTACTTCCCATTGTTGAGTTCAGATTTCATTTTCCTGCCCCAAATGACTGAATCACATGGTTATTCAAAGCTTTACCACACTTACCAAATTCCCTAACTAGTATAGGAAGTCTTCAATAACCAGGTACACTTTGTATTGCCAGTGGTGTGAGGAGTAAAAGTGTGGAAGTAACCAGAGTTGGTGCATTTGATCCTTTCAAATGTTGAGGAGCCAGTGGCAGCTACAGAGCAAAGAGTCGGGAGGGGGAAGAGGCCTGGGGAGAGGTCATGGAGGGAGGAGGCCACTGACATTTCAGAAACATTCTCACGTGGCACAGACTGGGTCAAGATTTTCTGAATTTCTCGTGGAGGTACTTTAGTCACACAGCTGAAAAGGCAACTGTGTATTCTTAAATAGCAGTATATCAGGAGCTGGAAGATATAAGCTCCAATGAAAGACTTTACCTCCCAGGCATTAACCCCAGAATCCCTCACATACAGGGCTTACTGTTGAACAAATATTTTGCCCCCAATGGAGGTAGAAGGTGATACTTACTAGATATTGTTTTCCTTCAGTGTATATACTATTCTTCTTTTTGTACTAGTCATTTTTGTGCCTATCACATATATGGAAGGAAAAGACTTCAAAGTCTTTTGAGGATACCAGAAGAGAACTGGGCTGTAGATTGATTTTGTTGGCCTTTGGAATGGCAAAAATTATTATTATTATTACTATTTTTGCTGGTTGTGGAGCTTGAACACAGGGCCTGGGTGCTCAAGGCTAGCACTCTACTACTTGCCTCACAGTGCCACATCCAGTTTATTGGAGTAGTTTATTGGAACTTAAGAGTCTTGAGGACTTTCCTGCTTGGACTTTCCTCAGATCTCAGTCTCTTGAGTAGCTGGGATTACAGATGTGAGCCACCCGTGCCCAGTTATGAGAATTATTTTGAGAATTAGCTGCTGATCGTCATCAGAGAAGATCAAGTTAAAAATAAATTGCAATGGCAAAACATTATATAATGTAATTCTAAGTCATAATTATATCATGAGATGACATTGTATATTTTTAACCAATCATAATTACTGTAACATATAGATACCAGATAAGTTTCAGAGAAAGAGCAGGTAAATCAGATTCAAAAATCAGATATATTTCTTATAGAATTAGGAGCTAGAGAGAAGAGGCATAAAAATTATGAGCTAGAGAAAAGAGATGTAAAAGCTCTGTTTTCTACTATGAATTGGCTATCATTAATAATTAGAATTCTTAGGACTGACTATGCTTAAATTTATTACATAGAACAAATTCTTCAACATGGACATATATTTTTATATTGTCAGAATAATATTCTCCTAAGGGGCTGGGAATGTGGCTTAGTGGAAGAGTGCTTGCCTAGTATGCATGAAGTCCTAGATTTGATTCCTCAGTACCACATAAACAGAAAAAAAAACAGAAGTGGCACCATGGCTCAAGTGGTAGAGTACTAGTTTTGAGCAAAAAGAAGCTCAAGGACAGTGCCCAAGCCTGGCAAAAAAAATTCTCCTAAAACATTATTTTACTATTTGTGCTAACTTATTTCACATGAACTTAAGTTAGTCTGCCCATAAATAATATATCATTTTTTTTCAGAACAGAATACTCCCTTTAGAGTTCAACTATGGGAAGTGTGAGAGAATCCACATCTGGATGGTAAACACTTTAGAAAGGAATGGGAGAAAATGGAGTAGGAGAGCCAAGGACACTTGGAGGCTAAAGTGAGAAAACAGAGGGTGATTCTTTTAAATTTGGAGGCATATTTTCCTCCATCGACTTGGAGACCTTGGTCCCAGAAGCAAAACTAAAATCACAGATCTTGAACAGAGCCCTAGGCTGATAAAGGAATCTGATTGATTTTTCCACTTTGTCTCTGCTCTCTTTTATCCATTTTTTTCCTTTGTAAAAATATTTGTACTACCTAGGGAAACATAAAGCCTTCTAGCTTTCTGGGGAGATTTGCCTGCTATGACGATGAACCACAATAATGAGGCTTTATTTCTCATGGCACCTCAAACTTAGCTAAAGAGGCATTGCCCATAAAAGTTGGAAGCAAAAATGGTCTAAAGATTAAATGCAGATCTGAAGTCTTTACTTCTTCTTGACAGGCTAGTGCCAGCTTTATGAAATCTTACACACACACACACACACACACACACACACACACACACACACAGCATTTGTGAATTTTAGCCTGAAAGACTATTGCTTTTTGTACCCAAAACAGAGTTCCCTAGCAAGTTTCTTCAGTTTAATAGCCTTGATTCTTTATTTCACTTTTATGAAAGAAACCGTTTCACATTAAAACAAGAAAAACAAACATTGAACCAACTTGAAATGAACAGATTTCTGTTTAGCCCCTTCCCTTTTCGCCTTACACTTAGTCCTGTCTTCCTCTAAGTTCCAGCTTTCAGTATCTGGGGACGAACATTTACTTAAATAAAGCACAATGAACCCCATCAGATGGTCTTTGAAAATGGTGAGGGAAGGTGACAGGAACAGGACAATCCTGGAGAGAGTGAATTTGTTCAAAGTCTAATGTGTACATGCAAGGAGATATCCCAGTGAAAGCCTCTCCTTTACCGATGTTAACTCAAAAATAACACACACACACACACACACACTAATTAAAACAAGTAATTAATATGAGAATTTTAATTGTCTAAATTTCCAGAATAATCACAGGTGTTGTTTGAAAGTGCATTGTAAGTTATCATGAAATATGCAAATATACCCAATTTCTGCTGTTTTGACCATTGTAATGCTAGCAAGTAATCAGTGGCAAACATTATCTCTAAGCAAACTGGCACCATCTACCAGTGTTCTCCACAGCAGCTTTTGTGTGTGGTACCCATGAAGCATTTTATTATGTTCACATAATCTACACAGGAGATTGTTGCTTTGTGCTTGAGCTAGTAATCAATACTGTTTCCAATTCATGAAAGAAAAAAAATGAAGCTCTCATTACAGAGATAGATTTCATGCACTGATGAATATCTCTGTAGGCTGAAAAGGCCTAGCACAACTCATTGTGTCATATGCTCACGTACCCCTAATGTATAAAATACCATCTGAGATACAGTTCATCACTGATAAAAGAAGCAGTAACGTGCCTTGCTGAAGCTTAGAGTAGCAATTCAGTCCTGTGAGAGCACTAAAGACCTCACAAGGAATAGATATCCAGCAAGACCGTGGCCAACATCTCAGTTTCTTTAGGATGAATGATTGTAGTACATAATCAAATGTCTCAAGCATGTGCATTATGATGCCATCTACTTGTTCTACCTACGCAATGATTCATATGTAATTTTCAGCAGCATTCTTTAGAAAAACATTAGAAATTTTAATACAGCAATAGACCAGTTTTGTCCTAGGAAAGGAAGAAAAGAAAACAAAAGAAAGTAGATATAATTTTCACCAAGTTCACAGGAAGCTTAGAAGCTTCAATCTTGGGTAGAAATATCAAGGAAATGATTTTTCTATCATAAGTTAAGTAGGTAAAATAAAAAGAGCAAAATGAAAACTATGAAAAACTAGAAAACAATAGGCTTGGTGTCTGTTGTGATTATTTAGGACGGGGGTGGGGGGAATGGGACTGGGGATTGAACTAGGGGCCTTGCAATTGCTAGGCAGACAGTGTACTGCTTGAGCCACTCCCCAAGCATTAGCCTCAAATCTAATTCCATGAATGGTTTTGCGTGATTTTTCAAGTAGGAAAAAGTTGAGTTATAGCCAGATAGATTATAATAAATTCCTGAAACTTAAAATGATTTTCGTAATTATATAGGTACAAATATACATTAATATATAAAAATATATAACTCAAAATAAAAGTTAAAGCCAGGTGCTGGTGGCTCAGACCTGTAATCCTAGCTACTCAGGAGGATGAGATCTAGGATTGCAATGGAAGCCAGCTCAGGAAGAAAAGTCCCCATGAGACTCTTATCTCCAGTTAACCACTGGAATGCCAGAAGTGGAGCTGTGGCTCGAAGTGGTTAGAGCACTAGCCTTAAGCAGAAGAGCTCAGGGAGAGTGCCCAGGCACTGAGTTCAAGCCCCACAACCAACCAAAAAATCCCTGTGAAAACAAACACGATAAAATAAAATGTGAGACTAGAGAAAAATAGTGTCTATAGAATTTGACTATGTAGACTATAAAAAATCATGTACATTCCCATAAATTTACCTGTGTCTGTATATGTATTTATATACATGCATGCCTACAGGTAAGAATCCTAAAGGTAAATGGATTTTTAAAAAACAAGTTTGAAGCAAATTTTGAAGATATGGTTGTGACATAGAACCGAGAAAGGGCACTTTCCCGTGCCATATGTCCTGACGTCATCCCTGGATCCCATCTCAGAAACACACGTAGTGCCTGCTGCCCTTCATAGCACAGTCCTAGCTGAACTGAAGATGCCCAACTTCCTCTGAAATCTAATGACAATTTGTTTAGTAGAGTTTTAGTGGTCAGAACTCCATGTTACATTCTGGCTCTTTAACTGCTACTGAGTCTTATATAGGCATCCATTAGCTATAACACTATACCAATAAGACAACCCCTTACCTTAATCATTCTACCAAAGTAAGTTTGCCTTCATGGTCAAACCAATGTGTTCTGTGGTGGCATCCTTCCTGAAAGTCTCTCAACTGTTTCACATGTCTCTAGATCCCTGTCTCCTCCACAGTCTACACTGGGGCACCACCTTCTCCCCCCACTGTAAGAAGCTCCTCTGCTCTGCTTTCTACACGCTGTGACTTCTTGTCACCCAGCCTCCACATGCTATCTGCCTTCATGGTTACACAAAGTACATCTCACCATGACAACTTACATGCTTAACCTTTCAAGGACTTGATATTGGTCTCGTAGCATGTTCTCCAACTCACAATGTTCTTTCTCCTCCCTCCCCCCGACCCCCCAACCACTGAACTCCTCCTTAATCCCTAGGAGCCCTCTAGATTTCAGTTTAGCCATCATGTCTCTGTCGAATGTTCCAAAGACTATGAGGTACTTTTATACAGCAATGTATTTGATTAAACATCAGTCTCTTTTATTGCATAAAATATAAACTCTGTCAAGAAAAGGGACTGAGTAATGTCTTTGCTGAAATGAAGCAATATAGAGTGTACTTTGCCCAAGTGCTCTCAGAATTAATCTTGCAGTTATCTAGTTCTTTCTATAAAGTGCCTAAATCCTATGTGCTCCTTTTTAATAAGACAAACAACTCACCAATAAAAACCATTAAGTAACTTTTCATAGTGTCTCAAGGAGTTTTTGTACAGCCTGGCTGGTTAAGCAATTGTTGATAGGCTCACTTGTATTGTATCACTGCTTTTTAATTTAAATTTCTTTTTCAGGAGGTGTGTTTTTTTTTTAAATACCACTGGATATGCAGAAATCTGTTCTGAATTTATATAACTTAGAATAGGTCTTAAAAGTCAGTGATTTATGAAAAACACCGACTTGATGATGGTTTACAACATTTTTCCCTCCTCACAGGAGACCCATGCTGGGAAAAATAAAGCATCCCGATTCTCATTAATGGCAACAGCTGCACAGACAACTGTAGCTGAAGGTTATAGACACTGCCAGGAAATTCTCACAGCAAAACCAAGGTTGGGCTGGCAGCATTACTCTGCCTTTCAAGTGCAATTCTGAAACCTAAAACCATGGAATTTCTAATGCTCACAGACACTCTTGTCAATATTTATTTAGGCACTTTAATGTAATGTACTATAGAACCGATGCAATAAAGGAATACTCCTTTTACAGAGCTAAGGAAGATATGTTTATAGGCCACAAAGTTAGTTTCTAACTTTTGGATGTACTTACAAATGGCAATAGATTGGCATATTTTATCTGTTATGGGAGAATGGACCTGAATAAAATTTGCTGAAGTAATTATTTGTATTAGAGGTGTGTCAGATTAGATTTGGGACATACCCAGGACCTCTCCCTTCCTTTCATGCAGTTAGTCATTCATTTAACAAACAATCACTAAACATCTTCTTGATGACTTTTCTCTCCCAGTTCACAAACTAGTAGAAAAACTAGTAAGATACAATTTTAGGGAGCACCTATCTATGTACCTCATATGTGAATAACACAAGCCTTCTTTCCTCTCTCCATGGGATTTAAGTCTAATTAACATCCCACAGCCTCAGTTTGGTCTTCCTACACTCACAGGTACATGTCCAGTAGCTTTGGAAAAGCAGCATTTGTTCTGCTCTGCTTGAAAATTTGTCTTTAGAGGTGTAGACCTCATGGTCTTTCTGAATATTAAGGAGTTTTGACTCAGAGATAGAGCACTTGCCCAACATCCTCAAGACATAGGGTATTAGCCACAGAAACACACATACACATGCACACATACACTTACACAAATGAGAGAGAGAATGTCATTTAATTTTCCAACAGTGATTTATACTTTCTTATAGAAAAACAGGGATGTGTGTTATGGAGCCAGAAGCCTGAAGCTCATGTCCTTGAAGGACACTTTGTGTTTGTGCAAAATAGGCTACTGATAAATATAAAATTGAATTAATTGCCCTAACTCATACAAAGACCTAAGCTTCTTCATTACTCATTTTTAAATCTAAGGAGCTAAAGAATCCAGGTGAACTCCTCTCATGTCTAGAATCTAAATAATCTCCTATTCATGCAGGGTAAACCTACCAAGGACAAGACTCCAGGAGGAGTAGAGCACCCAGCTGAACCATAAAGACAGACATTGTCTGGGTCTCTCTATCTACTTCCCATGGGCTCTAAGCTGGAAGTTTCTCCTTGCTCCATAATGATTCACATAGTAGCAACTATTTCCAAAGTACCTACTGGCTATTTGGAACACACTGCTGAAAAAAATTAACATTGCTATCTCTTTTATCTATTGAAGACCTTTCTTATTTTTGTATGAGTGTGGCAGTACTGAGATTTGCATTCAAGAGCCTTATGCTCACTAGGCAGGCCCTTGTATCACTAAGTCACATATCCAGCCCTGGTTTTTGCTTTTTGCTTTTTCTTTTTACTGGTTATTTTAAAGATATGCTCTTGTTTCCTATCCGGACAGAGCACAGAATACAATATATTGATTTTAGGCTTCTCTGGGTGGCAGGCACTGGTACACTGTCTCCAGCTCCCTTCCATTAAAAGTGAGTCTTGAAAACTCTTCTGCCAAGCCTGGCTTGGAACCATGATCCTCCCAATATCAGCTTCCCATATCGCTTAGGAAAACTACATCTAGGATGGCTACAAGGGATATTCATAAACTTTTCTGCCTGGGTTGGCCCCCAACGGACCACTACCCTCTCATTCTCAGCCTCCTAAGTAGCTAGGATTACAGGCTGCATAAGACTTCTAAAATGAACACTCATCTTTGTGCCTGGAACTAAATACCTTGAATAGAAGACATAGAAATGTAGTCTCTGCCAAAAGGAAGCTGGAGGGAGGGGGTAACAAGTTAGATAAGTACTTATGTAACTGTAACCTCTCTGTATATCACCTTGACAATAAAATTAAAATAAAAATCTTTTAAAAAAAGAAGCTGGAGTAAAATATGTAAAACCAAAAAGCAAAAATTGCTCAGGTATTATTTATCTTACCTTGTAATGAATTGAAGATGGAGAAGAGGTACATGAAGGGGATATTTAAGGGTCCCCAGGCAAAAAAAGCAAAACCCCATGTCATGCCTAGCAGGAAAGTCAAGCTAACCACACTGCGCAGGTTCCTTAAAACCTCTTCCTTCAGGGTCCGGTTGCTTCTCTTGCCGTTTCTCCCACAGATCTGCACCATTACCACAATAAACATGGCAACATTCAGAAAAAACATGACTCCAAAATAGCCAGCACAGGTCACGTAAAATATCACTGCATCCTGAATCCAACAGCTAAAAAAATTAGAAACAAGAAAGGGAAAAGAGATTGATTGCCACTCTCTGATTGTTTATTGCAGATTTACCTCTCAAACACCTGTGGAAAGTCATTTACTGCCCTGGCCTTCCATTTTTTCTTTGCTCTTTTATTAGATGGTTTGTTTGGTTTAGGTACTGTTTTCATATCTAGTTATTTAGGTTAACATTAAAAAGAAATCACGATGATTTTTGTTGAATTCTACCTTGGTATGAAACCACTCTTGATTGGCTCACCTGAAACCATGTCTAAACTGCTTTTCTATTGTATGCTTGTACTGTAAAAGTGGTAAAGTTAAGTACTCTTTTCTCTCTCCTCTTTCCTTCCCCTCCCTCCCTTCTTCCATCCTTCCTTCCCCCCCCTCCCTTTCTCCCTCTTTTCTTCCCTCCCTCCCTCGTCCCCCTGTCTTTCTATCTTCCTTCCTTTCTTTCTTTCTTTCTTCCTTTCTTTTTCTTTCTTTCTCTCTTTCTTGTCCTAGGGCTTGAATTCAGGGCCTGTGCTGTCCCTGGGCTTCTTTTACTCAAGGCTATCACTCTACCACCTGAGACACAGCTTGACTTCTGGCTTTTGGAGGTTAACTGAAGATAAGAAGCTCATGGACTTTGCTGCTCAGGGTGGTTTTGAACCTCTATCTTCAGTTCTCAGTCTCCTGAATAGCGAGAATTACAGGTATGAGCCACCAGCATTCAACTACGCACTCACTTTTGCTTTCTGATGAGTTAAAGTGTGACACAGTTCCCCAAGGCAACATGGAAGCAGAAGTCTGTTTGAGGGACTTTTGGAAAACTGTTCTTGACATACTCAACTGGCAACCTGCTATTTCTTCCTGTTTCCAACATGAAATGGGCTATGGAATTATACCAGTGGTCTTCCATCATAAAAGAGGCCAAGAGAGCGGTGGAAATGTGAGCACTGACATATAGTCAAAAAGTCAACATTAGTGGATTCTACATCCATGTTATTTGTCATGTGTGGGAATTAATTTCTACTTAATGTGTCACACTGAACTGTTGGCTCATTATAATAGTTATAATAATTACTACTAATACAATGGGTTAGTTGAGACAGGGCTTTATTATACAATTGTAAGATTTATCCATAGACACTTCTTATGCATGACTATGAAGCTGACATTAATAATAAAGCATCTTTAATGAGATAAAATGATATACTTAATATTTAGAGTGACAGATCAAAAATAAATTCAAGAAACTGAAAAACTACAATATGTACAAATTATATTATGAGTAAAGTTGACAAATATAATTTGCAAATGTCCTAATACCTAATCTAAGCTATGGAAATTTTTAGGCATCTCAAAATTAGATAGTTGAAGGAAATCAAATTTATTTAACATTTTAGTATAAATGGTCATCCTTCTGGAATATTCCACAGTGAAATATGTCATTCACAGAGACAAAGCTTGAACATCTTTGGATTCTGGAACCTTACTAGACTCCTGGAATATAATTAATACTCAATAAATGAGCATTGTTGATGGCATAACAATGTACCAAGTGGAACTTTAGTGTTTTATAAGAATTGGTTAACATGATTTTCTTGTTCCCTTTTTTAAAAAGTTATTTGTTGGGTTCTACTTTTAGTATATATTAGTGCTTGTCCCTGGAGCTAAGGTTTCTCCACACATGTAAGTTATTCAAAGATCCTGAAATTCCTGACGTAGGTCCAACATTTCCCCCCCTGGTCCTTGTTGAATGTTTTCAAGGCTATTTTAGAAATATGAACGAAGTTGTGCCTTTCATGATGGAAAAAGACATGTGTTAGACAACTGGCTGGATATAGACGTGTTGATCATCCATGAAATGTACACTGGCATGTGGCTTCTCAAGACTCATTTCAGCAATAAGCTCTTTTTTTCTTTAATCACTCTTCCAGTCAACAGATACTGAATATCCTCAATATGAATGACAGAATAGGACACAACTGCTTACATTGAACAAACTTAATCTCAAAGACCTTGTAGTCTGAAAGGAAGTTTGTTTTTTTTCCAAAATATTTGAGAACACACTTTTTTTCCCACTCCCTACATTTCTGTCTACCATTCATATTGGCACTGATATTACTGTTGGACTCCTTCAAAGATGTATGTCCTCTTGAGGAAATAAGAGAGTTATGGAATAGACAAAGTAGTATTATAGGCTTCTTCTGAATGTTCCAAGATAGAATCTATTGTTAATATAGAAATGCAACTCAAATATTCCAGAACATTAAAATCATGATCTCTGTCCTAGCAGAGACTGAGACAAATTCATACAAATGAACTAAAGTCTTTTAAAACAAGAGCCTTACTACTGGCATAGAAATTGGCATTAAATTTCAGGAAGCATGGGACTTTTGTCCATCATGAATAATCCCCCAAATTTGCATTACTTACAATTCATCACCTTGTTCTTTCCCATAGCTGTCTTTTCCGTAAACTTCATTTTGTTTTCTGCTTGTGAGAATAATTGACACCACCAAGGCTGGCAAACCTATTATGCAAAGACCACAGACAAGTTAGCTCTCCTGCAGCAACCACATCTGTTTATCGGACTGAGAATGGCAAGGAAAGAGAAAAGAAAGAAAACTCTCCAGGTCCCAGGCACAAACATGTTAGAACTGGGAATTCAGTTAAAGTCAACAACAAAAGCTTCTCCTTGGTGTAGAATATCCAACAGCCCAAACTTAGCCTTCAATATTCTGTTTGCTTGGAAATCATTAAAGAGCCCGAAACCAAATTGTAATGAATCAAGCATCAGCCAGTGTGGTTTCATTAATGATATCTTGTTAGAATGCCAGAGTTCAAGCAGATAAGGCAATTGCTGTATACTTTGCCCCTTGTTTTTGGATACAAAAGTAAGTTTTTCAGAGAAAGTATGTAGGGAAAGCAACAGGGGTATTGAGTCTTTATGGTCTCCAAATAAGCAATGAAGTATTTATTCCCTTGTGTATTTCACTGGGGGAAATAGGTGTACCTCCGTTCCCTAAAAGATGGTTTTGCTGCCTCCTAAAGGGTCGACTGGAACACTTTGGGAATATCTCAGGCATCTATATTGCCATCTGAAAAAGTTTTGTGAGGGAGCTCTAAAAGGCCTGGCCCAACATGAAACCAAGGGAGATGAAGGAGCTCAATGGGAAGATTGCCAACAGACCCACATGACCATCCCATGCCCCACTCGGGATTCATGGTAAAAAAGTTCAAGGCAAGAATCCTCTGTGCGACTTCACTGGACACACATGAATAAAATGCTTCTTTCAATTCCTGTAGGGATGAGCACAACCAGGAGTCTCGGCAGGACTTTCTATTTGGAAGCATAAGGTTCTGCCAGCTGCTCCTTTGGACTTGGGTGGGCTGGCGCTGAGCTCAGGAAATAAGTTTTTGGTGACTCAGGAGCTGAGGTGTTTCCTTTATTCTTGAATTTAGTGAATACGGGTGGAGAGTTTTAAAAAGACAGTGCTGAGGATGTCCCTTGTGTCAGATATGATTATCTCATCCACATCCTTCCCAGGACTGTGCTTTAGAAATAAGATTTTTTTTCCCCTATGAAGATTGAGCAAGGTATGTGATAGAAAGTACACAGGCAGCTTACCCCAGCCAATGATGCAAAATTTGAGGATATACCGGCGGATGTAGGTGTTAAATACTTTCACGAGGGCAATGTACATGTGGATTGCTTCCAGCCCCATCCAGGTGAAAGTGGCCAGAAGGAAGAAGTGCAGCAGGGCCGCCACAGCTGTGCATAGTCCGTCCACACCGAAAGAGGTAATCCAGCCATCCAGGAGGAAGATGAGATTCAGGAAGAGCAGGGCTGAGCTCAGGTTCATCAAAATTTTAGAGGGATAATCCCTTCTCAATTTCCTAAAAAACAAAAAGTCAGGAAGTATGTATGGCAGCTAATATGGCTATAAGTAATTTTTAAGCACAGGAGTAAAAATACCTCTCTTTTCTAGCTCTGAGATGGCTTAGTTAGCCCCATCTTTATGTCTTGATTCCACTAAGGGAAGGCTAAAAATACTTATGAGTAGGTGGCAGGTTAAAATTAATTGTATCCTGATTGTTTATAAAATTTCGAATTGGTTTCCAGACATTTTTTTAAAATCCAGAAACAATTCTAGAGTTGTAAGAATGATTTTTGTATTAAAAAGGCAATTTACATAAATATTTTTAAAGTTTCAATTTTTAATATCCCTTTTCAAAGTTTTTTTTCTCCTCTTGGAATGGATTTTTATAGGATTTGTGAAGCAAATATTTTCATGTTTTACAATATGGGAAGTATTTTACCAAAGTTTCAGTTTTCACATAAACAAATCTAACAGATCTGAATAAACTTTAGAAGCAGAAATGATAGTTATAAGATTCCCCAACTGAAAATTCATGTGGATGATGTATTTCAGGGGAAATCTAAACACTAACACTGAGCCATCCAACATGATCCATAGAGCATCGCATTGTTTTTGAAAGTTGAAACCATTTTCTAAGTTCAGTGTTCTTCCAACAATTTTCGTCTTTGCCACAGTTAGGACTAGACTTAGCAGACAGCAAAATACTTACTCAAAAGCAACATATGTCAAGAGAGTAGCTGCTGAAAAGATGGCGGATACTCCACAGCCCATATAAGTGATGAAAGTGAGCACTTTAGTGTTTCTTGAATCCATCTGTGAAGCACTTCTTGGAAGGTCCTAACAAAATATGGGAAGCAGCGGTAAGAATTCCTCTTTGTGTTGCTACAATTTCCCCTGATCACATTGGGCAGCTCACACTCAAGGGCTAATTATGCATGTTGACATCGAAATTACCATTGATTGCACTTGGTGGTTTGATCCATGGAAGAAAAACACCGCATTATTAGAGGGTGGGATGTACATCTATTTTTATGACCTTCTTACCCAAAGTCTTACATCCCAGAAGAAAATGCAGAGCAAAACCAGCAGGTATCCCCCTCACTCTAAGGATATGGGGTATCCACAGCACATAAGATGGGTGTGACCCAGTGCCAATTGACTCCTGATCAGATACTCATTCAGTTCAGTTATTCCTGGATCTCTTGAACCCCAGAAATAAATTACAGTCTTGAAGGATCCAGAATTAAGTCAAATAAGGCTGTTTAGAGATATTCAACTCACACACAATTCTTGTGTTGTCTTGTACTTTTAGAAATGAAAATATGAAAACATTATCTCCTTAAACTGGTCAACATGAAAGATGGCACTGTCAAAAATATGAAAGTCAATTTTACCACAGAGAAATGCAGGAGAGGACAGTAAATTCTTCACACATTTATATGAGAAGATACAATTTTGGGTGAATGTATCATGGGAAAATGTAGACTTGGAATATCTTTTATAAGTGAACAGAGTCTGTAAATCAAGAAAACAAAGTCTTGGTGGTCTGGAAAAGCTGAAGGGATATGGACACATTGCCAGAAAGGATAACATTTTGGAAAGGTTGGATTTCAGCAGTTTATAATCTTACAAAACCAGCCAACAGAGAAAATGGAACGATAGCACTAAAATGTATACCTTTGGATGTACATTTGTAGGCACATGCACATACACATACAGATACAGATATGGATATATATTCATACATATATGCATACGTATATTTAACTATTTAATCAGAAAAGGTGACATGCATTTATAAATCCATAATAAAAATTAAGTAAGATATAAAGGAACTGGATACTCCCAGGTAATTGGCAGCTAAAAATCTTGTTGCATATCAGTCTTCTCTGGGTAGTCAATTTTGACACTATTATTTATTAACCTAAGTTACCACATAGTCATGCTCAAACACTCACACACACACACACACACACACACACACACACAGAGTTGAAATATTTAAATTAAGCAGAGGTTTATTTATCTGAGAGCCTGTAAAAATAAGTATTTTCTGAAAAAGTACAAAGTGTCATTTTTAAAGAAAAGACTAAAAAAATACACAAACTTTTACCATTCTTAGAGGGGAACACAATATAGTTTAGTTGTTCATTTTCATGCTCTAATGTTAAGAAAAAATGATTTATACTTTGTTGAGAACATTAACAAAGTTACTTTCTGTGATCATCACCTCTTAAAATGACTTCTTTTTTCTTATCCTCAGAGCATGTCAGGAAAGTTACAACTTGCAGAGTTGCTGTATGACAATGGCCATTTACATAGGCCAAGTGGTTCAGGAGCCAAATACCACATCTAACAGCTCAGAGCTGCTTCCTCCAAGTCCCCACAGGAAGAAGGGTGTGAGATTTAGGGACGGGATAAACACAACCTCATGTCTTGGATTCCAAATGGAAAAGCTTCATTCTCTCCACTCATATAACTCTCCTCTATTAAAAAACAAATAGGGTTAGTCCTAAATAAAAACTCTACCAAAATGATGACTATGCTACATTCTAGAGGCTCTGGATATCAGAAAGGTGTTTATGAAAACATCAGTATACTAAATTAAAGATAAAGTTGTCGGTCTAGGGATGAATTCTAACATCCCATGACCTTGGACATGGGTCTTGAGCATTTGGTAGGATGAAAAAACAAAGTTCTAAGTTCTGGTTGAAACTTGAGCATACTGGCCTGTGAGATTAAAAAGCAGGGCCATGGGAAAGGAAGGAGGAAGAGAGGAAGGAAAGAATGATATGAAGTCCTGAGAATGGGAGAGTTCCCATGCTTATCTCTACTGCAGGACAGAAGTTGCTAACCTGAGCTACCAATGGTGCTAAAAGGCTGCCATAGTTAGGAGAGCAATCACCTGGCATAGGATGTGATTGCAAGTGACAGTCACGACACATGCTAAGTCATAATGGAAGGCAGGACGTTTTGATCAAACTATTTACAGTTCTCTTCCATAGTAGTAAAGGCTGGGACCACTTGTTTTTAAAAGTTGAGACAGGAGGAGGCTACAATGCTTGATAAGAAATGTACTCATTATCTTGCCCATGTAATTGTAACCCCTCTGTACGGTATTTTCACAATAAAAAAAAGTTGAGACAATTTTCTAAGTCATGTTGGGTAAGGACTTAGAGATCAACTACTCATGGTTCCAAACTGCGACTGTTTTGACCTACCAGTACAGTATTGATATGCTCAACTGCACTGCTTGATATAACCACCAATATTTTCTCATTTAACCTCCCCACTTTCCATCTCCCTGTTTCACTGACTCTAATTCTCTGTTCATTGAAGAGTTTCATGAGGATTCTAGTGTTTCTGGAACTATTTGCCATCGTGATAAATGCGACAAGAAAAGATAGGAGTTCTTTTTATGATTACTTTCACATTTTATAAACAGATGAACTCAACTAATTTATTTAGATGTCTCTTGAAGAATCAAGATTCCAGATCCACATGGAAATTATCAGGGAATAATTTCCCCAATAGATCTTTTTAAAAGACACACACACACACACACACACACACACACAAAAGAAATTATTTCATGACCAAAATTATTTCATGTCGAAATAAACTTAGTGATTCCCCTACCATTAAGACTCCAAAATGTGTGAAATGGTTACATAGGCAGATTGTCTCGCTTGCATCTGAGTCTGTGTGTGCAATGCATCCTGATGTGTTCCATCCTCCGAAACTTTCTGTAAGCAAAATAACAATGAGTGAAGAAACATGAACATGCCTCGGTCTTCTCTGTAAGGGATGAGCTCCATAGAAGGATTTGCTCACATTTCTTCTGCCTTCCAGAGTTTATATGTAAAATAGATGTTTTCTTAAAGCTACTGATATCTAAATTAGACACTAGCATCACAGAGCATCAGTGTTGTGTTGGGTGAAGAGTTTGCGATGTTCTACTCGGTAATTTCAAACTACTCTTGTTTAAACTCTCCCTTCAATAGTGTTCGACAAATGTCCAAGTATATTTTTTAAAATAAACTTTAAAATGATCTTCTATTCCAAGACTATTCTTTCTCAAATACATTACATGCTAATGAACCCTCTGGGGAACAACACACTTTTGTCCCCAGGGATCAGTCTACATTTTTGTGAAGATGTAAGAACAAAGCAGTTCTGCTTTATAAGCATATGTTAGTATGTACCACTCAGTTTATGCATGGTGATGAGTCATTACAAATGGCTAGATTGCATCTGATCTGAAAGTTCTGGTGTTATACAGATCCACTAATCTGAATAACATATAAAGATACAAGGTAATATTTAATCGTATATATGAGTACACCAGGACTCTAAACTGAAAACAACAACAAAAATCTTGTCCAGCTGTAATAAAGACTAGCATTTAAAAAAGAGGGTTTGGTCACCTCTTTTGGTTCTGTTTTTTTTAACCATGACAGTAGCCAACATTGAATCAGAATAAACTAGGCTAGAATAATTACAGTGAGGGAGCATGGGGTAGATGACACTCAGGACAGAGGCATGTGAGGTTTCATCACACCATACATGCATCACCTCGCACATTTCTCCCTCTGTGCCTAATAACCTATTCATTCTTCCATTGCACCCTTCTGTCTTTATTATTCAATGACATTTTAGAGCTGTGCAATTTATTTCTGTATTCCTTCCAATTAGTCTTGAGTTCACCTTTCATTAGTATCTTCTCCACATACCTCAAAATTTGAAGTCTGAAAGTTGAATTTCCAACTGTGACTCATGCATTTCAATAATCCCTTCAAATGTATACTAGGAGAATGAGACCATACGCATATACACATTCAGCTAAAAGTGGCAGTAAAATACACATTGCATTTCACTGACTGAATTGGAGAGGTTGTCTGAAACTGGAGAAGTTGTCTTAGTAAAAAAATGAATCAAGTATGCCTATTTTTTTTCTTGAAGCAACCAAAAAGTTACAGAAATTAGAATTCATTTCCCAAGCTATTTAAACTCAACTTTTCAGCTAACTTGCCCTCACACTTAATCTTGTGACTCACTCTGGTTTGACATGAAATAAAAGGAAGTGTGAATGAATGACAGTGCTTAAAATTTAGTTTTGATCCATATTAAGACAGTCGGTATTTTAAAACTTACTGTTTTTGTTCAGATCCCAGAAGGCACAGATAGGATGACGCACTTCCTATATTAACAAAAGAATAAACACGTGAATTGAATTGAGAATAATTTTTAAAACATATGATTAGAATGTGACATAGGAACAAAAAAACCAAAGGCTTCACAAAATGAAACAAAACAAAAACAATGACAACAACAACACATCAGTATTAGACACACCATTATCACCTAAAAACCTCAGGAAATTTTGGTGAAATCTCTCTTACAGAGATTCAAGTGAAAATCAATTATAGTAGGCTCTTGGATCCATAGCTATATGGGCTTTCAAGGAGACAACCATTGAGAAAAGGGAAATATTCAGGATGGTAAAAAATGCTGCAATGGACATGGTTGTGCTGGTAGCTTTAATGTAGCCTTGTTTGTGCTCTATTGGATAAATGCCCAGGAGTTGGATTGCTAGGTCATAGGGAAACTTATGTTTAGTTTTCTGAGGAACTTCCACACTGCTTTCTAAAGTGGCTGAACATTCCTAAGATATGGATTCAGCCCAGAAGCCTCTCAGTGGATGGCTGGGTCTAGAAAATGTGGTCTATACTTGCATTGAAAGAATGCTAATATACCATTTGTAAGGAAATGGAAATATCTGGGGAAAATATATTAAGTGAAGTAAGTCAGTCCTAGAGAAACAGGTTGCATACTTTCTTTCATTTGTAGTAGCTAGAATGTGACTATAAATCTACATGTAAACACACTGGGTGGTAAGCAAGGATTACAAATGAATTAACTGAAGTATAATAGACTCTGTGGAGAGTGCAAATAGTACAATTCTTTTGAAAAGACTAAGTCAGGGCTGGGAATCTGGATTAGTGGTAGAGTGCTTGTCTAGCATGCATGAAGCCCTGGGTTCAATTCCTCAGTACCACATACACAGAAAAAGTCAGAAATGGTTCAAGTGGTAGAGTGCTAGTCTTGAGCAAAAGAAGATCAGGGACAGTGCCCAGGCCCCGAGTTCAAGCTCCAAGGCTTGCAAAAAAAAAAAAAAAAGATTAAGTCAAAGCCCAACAAAATAAGGATCAGGAAATGGGTACTTGCAAGAAAGGGAGGCCAAGAGGAGAAGGCTAAGAATGAAGCGGGGAAGAGGGAAGGATGCAAACAAGAATTGAGAAGGAATGGGAAGGAGTGGGTCGAAGGGGGTGTGTGTGAAGATGTTGGAGTGAGACCCAGGTCAAGATGCATTATACACTGTTTTGTTAAATAGCAAAGAAGTTCAAGACACAACCTAAAATTAAGATAAGTAAGGAAAGAGGTGGGTGGGAAGGAGGGGATGAGAATGTTGAAAGGGGTGACGTTGATCAAGATGCCTTCTATTCAGGAGCTGCTTTGGTGAATGACAACTCCTTTGTATAACTACTTAAAGATGATAAAAAATATTAAAAAAACAAAATGAAACAAATACTCAGGATACCTACATCATACATACATTTCTAACCTGAATGAGAGTAGGCTTCGTTACTGTCACAAAAATTACTACACATTGATAGTGCTTATCAAAAACTAGATTTGTTTGTATTTTTCAACTTATTCATACTAAATTTGTCCAAATGAAATTGTCAAAGATTTAAAAATTGAAACAAAGGTTTGTTTCCATTACAATAAGTAATTCATAATTTTTTAAAGTTTTTCAATTTTAGATATTGAATATGTAAAATTTTTACACAACATTTGGAAAAGCTCGAGTCTCAATTCATGCTCTTTATATCAAATAATGTAGAGGCTGGATTCATTTTTTTTTCGCATAATGCCATCCAACTTCCAACGAAGACATGCTGTTTTCAAAAAAAATTCTGTACACTTTTCACTTCATCATTTAAATGTAGCATATATACACATATACCTTGCAAGCTTTTTGATCATCATTGCCTTTTGGAAGGCACAGTTCTTTACAAAACTAAGGTAAAACATTCCATAAATCACAGCATGATTGATACACAGCTGGCAATATCAGCTGAGTACTGCACACACAGGAATTCAAGGTGTTCGATTGTAAAATTTCATTTGGTTAACACCTTTTTTTTCCTGCCAGTGCTTGGTCTAAAGTGTGTTAAGAAATTTGGGCTTGTTGTGTAACCTCAAACACAATCTCATTATCTGTTTTTTGTAGGTTACAACGTATGTAGCTGTTCTTATAGTAACATTATTCACAAAATGTAATTAAAAAGTAGAAGAAGTAATCCAAGTATGCATCCATGGACAAATAAATAACTGAAACCTGGTATTCACATACAATGGGATATTATCTAGTCTTGAGAAAGGGAGAAAATTCTGACATTTGTGGCTAAAGCCATTCTGCACAGTGAAACAAAGGATAAATACTGTATGATTCCATTCCTCTGTGCCACTGAGAGGAATCATATCAATAGTGATGGAAAATTGAAATACACACTGCTGAAGCAGAGTCAGTGTTTCATAGACATGGAGTTTCAGTTGGGCAAGGTGGACAATTTCTGGAAAAAAATGATATACAATCTGAATATACTGAAAGCTACTGAGCTGTATATTCAAGCATGATCCACATGACAAATTGGACTACATATGCTTGACTACAGGGGAAAGCACAAAGGAAATCCTCCTTTACACAAGAAAAATGGGGCTGGCACAGGAGGTAAGAGGGTAGAACGGGGGTCTCTGAGGGCTCCTGACGAAGCAAGATGGGTTCTTTGATGACTCAACTTTGACCTTTAACCCTCATCACCCTGTTCTCTTCTGCCTGCCTTCCTGACTTGGGAGGAGATGGCAGGATGATGATTGCGACACTCTATAAAAAGGAGAACACTTTTTTCTGGGGTCACTGAGGACAGCAAGAACCCCCATCTAACTGTACTAGCTAAACAGACGGTGGCAAGGGTTAATGAAGCAAGAAGAGCAAACACTGTCACATTTTTACCAACTATCTAACCTTTTAAAGAGTAAGCCCACTCTCCTTTGTTCCCCACGTTGGCTTTCCCAGATTCAGTTAGCCCTGACTTTAAATATACAAAGGAAACGAAGCCAGGCACGGGTGACCCACGCCTGTAATCCTAGCTACTTCAGAGGAGTGGTGCTAAAGACCAGAGTTGAAGGCCAGCCTGGGCAAAACATTGAAGAGATCCTATCTCCACCAAGGGCTGGGCAGCATTGGAATGCGCCTGTCTTCTTAGCTATGTGGGAGGCTGCAATCAAGAGGATCAGGGTTTCAGGGCAGCCCAGATAGAAAAGTAAAAAGTAAAAAAATAAAATAAAATAGAAATGTTTGCAAGACATCTTCTCAATGGAAAAGCTGAATGCAGTAAGTAGTACATGCCTGCCTTTCACTGATAGCAGGAAGCCTGAAATAGGAGGATCGTGCCCCAGGCATGGACCTAGTATAAACTGAGATCTTATCTTGAAATAACTAGGAGAAAAAGGGCATGGCTCATTGGTGGAGTGCCTGCCTGGCAAGCATAAGGCTCTGCGTCCAAACCAAGGGTGTAACTGTGTCTGTATTCAATGCATTCAAAGCAGTATATGTCTTTCCTTAAGAATTGGAGCCCTGTTCTTTACTCCTGTTCTCTCCCTGATTGCCGAGTCTCAGAGAACACCAGCCTTTCCCCAGCCATTGATGAGGACTGTACGTGCCGCCTAACTCTTCTAGAAGACTGGTTTCTTCCCTATTCAAAATTGCTAGTTACTTCTTATCGCATAGGAAGAAAGAGTCTCACAGTTCTCCAGAACAAGTTGCATTGTGTGAAGTTGCTGTTGACAAGCATCTTCTTACCTGGGTTCTTGTGTGTTTGATTCTAATCTGAACAGGATCCTTCAGATTCTGGATTGTAATGTTCCCAATGCTGCACGCCATCACATAACTCACCAAGGCCTTGCTTTGTGGCTCTACATCCTTTCCAAGGAAAAACAAAAAAAAATTGCGTGCCTTAGTCAAGAGTACACACTTCTATTTCACTTTGGTGCTCCAAAATAAGCAAAGTGGTCAGCAACTTTTATACTTAAGATCTTCAATTCTCCAACATCCTGTTTATAACACCCAATTGCTGACTTTCCTGCAGGAGCATTGCTATTTCCCTTATTATAATAAATATGTTGAGGGAACATGAGGAGCCAGTTTCTTAAGGCAATGTTCATAAAACTCCATTCTTGATTGTAGTGGCTGATGTCAGCTAAATAACAACTGAAACAATGCAGCCTCATCAATAATATAAACTCATAAAAACCTGTGAAACAATTAGATCATTTCCCTACTCTAGAAAACAGATGGAGTTGTTTTCCCTTAAAGGAATATGAAGGAAATATGGTATTTAAAAAAAAGGCAAAAGCAAATTAATCTTTCCCATTCAGGCTAACAAGCTGACATGTTAACTGAATGTTATTTCTACTGGATCAAGTATCACACAGATGTTCTTTTACTGAAGGCAAACTTGCCAGTACCTACACACTGCTTACAGCAAAAAGGTGGACAGGAAATCAAATCCGTGAATCTGTGCTATAAAATGATTTGGACCAACAGGCTGTCACTCCAATAACTTCTCTTGGGTTTTTGTAGTTGTTTTGATTTTCTTCCTCTTGGGCTTATCAAATCTCCAAAACTTTTCTCCACCCACCAGCTCATAAATCAGTTGTTTTGGAGTGATCATCAGAGTTCTTAAATTCCTGATAAAAGTAACCCTATTTGAGTTCCTTTTTAATTAATTTTATACAGAAATTTACTGTTGGAAAGGTTAGGTATGGGTTGTTCATACCAGCCTTTTATTTAAAATTCTTATATGGTGAGGTATTACTTGCCTTTTTTGATCAAGGCCCTGAGCTCAGTGCTGTCAAAACCAAACTGAAACCAACTCCTCAGATCTTGGCTTCTGTCTTAGGAGATTGCCATTGAACCTTTATTATTAGGTATTATTTTTTTACTCTGATATAAATTTACTTGAAAAAACTTTAAACCTGTTTTGGAGTTTGATTGGGAGATACAGAATGAGAACAGAAAATGATGAGAAGAAGGTTTCAAAGAAAACAGTGACCCATCCATACTACTCTAAGAAGCAACCTTTATCCTTCGGAGAAGGCAAAACTTTCTCCTCTGAGCTGGACCCCTCCTTCTGATCATTCACATTTTATGACTCTTACTGTACATTGTATTGTTGCTTTTAAAGTTGGGATTGAAACCTGGAATTGAAATAATTTAACAAAATGCAGTTGTATGTGTGTTCATAGCTAGATATCCTTCTGAATACATTGCCTGGATAAATTATATATATATATATATATATATATAAATTATATTTCTATAAGCTACAAAAATTTTATACAATTTATTCCTAAAACATGTTGCAGATCCAAGTTTTAATTTGTCAACTTAGTTACTAACTATGATGCTATGATGCTATTTATTTATTTTTCCTGTTTTGTGATAGGGTCCTTTTATATCATCTCAAACTTAAGATGCAGCTACCTCAACTTCCTAAGTTCTGGGACTGACAGAGTGCAGCCCTATACCTGCATGCTGTATTGGGTGGAAATACCAGAGAGAATTCCACTAGCTTTGAGACTTGTAATTTTCTCTCACACAGGCCACGTTGTTTGATATACATAGGTATCTTAGATTAAATAGATATGTTTTATTGTTAAGAAAAGGTTCAGCAAAACTATTCTAGATGGATGGTTGTACTCATAAAGGCAACCGGCGGTCACCGGTATTTGCTGGCAGTAGACCTTCTAGTATCTAGAACTGATGCCAATAAAAATGATAATATGTACTTAGCACAATGCCACCCTACTCTGCGGATGTGGGAAGGCCAAAGGTCATTTGAAGTACTAATGGGAAAACTGATTAAAGCCAAGAATGTTGCTCATTATGTAAACCCTGCTTCCTGCTAAATTAAGAAGAAAAAAAAAGCCTTTCCTTTCGCTACACAAATGCTCTAACTCTAGAGACATAAAATATTATTAACAAAGAACTAATGAATAGTAAGTTATTACCAATTAAATTCCTAATTGTATCTTGCTGGTCTTAGTCTGGTATTTGATTTTAAAAATCCAAATAAATATATCCTTTCAATAAGCATATTATGTGAAACTGAAACAATTCTGTAAAATCTTATTTTTAAAAATATAATTAATTCCATTAGAATTCAACCTTGGTTATAAAAAATGTAACTAATTCTATTAAACCAATTATTCTATGTCTCCTGATGTATTTCAAAGGAATACGAACTTTTACTTTTACCAGTGAACAAAGAAACAATTTTAAATGGTTAAAAATAGTAATTAAATGAAGGCTTTACCTGGAAAAGTCCAGTTTTATTGAAGAAAGTAAACTGTGCTCTTGTAACTAACATCAAATCTTCTTGACTTAAATTCTCAAGCAAATTTGGAGGCAAAACCACTGAAGCCAGTGGATCCATTTGTCCATTCTCAAAATCCATCTGTCATACACAGACATAGGTAAAGCAATCACAATATGGCTGTCATGATAACACAATGTACTCTGTATGCTAAGCAAGTGTCTATTGAGATAGGACCAGCATTGCCTGCAACCTCTGCAGCAGGCCAAACCCACCCTGGATAACCTCCCTCTGTGGGCAGAGCCCAGCTCTCCTTTGCTCTTGCAGCAAAGGAGAAAATGTATTGATTCTAGTAAGGAAACATAAGAAATCTATAGATTGGTCAACATGTTCGAGTATGTTATTAGGTTTAGTGGTGTCATGTTTTGAAATTTTCCTCAAAATATATGGTGAATTTTAATGAGAGAGAGAGAGAGCGCTTGAGGCCTAAGTAACTCATTTGATCTCAGAGGCTTAGTTATCTATGCAAGGCAGCAACAGTGAAAGTGTTATGAACATTTTCTATGTCTATGAGATCCCACTTTTCCTGAAACTGTAGTTTGAGCCACAGAGTTTTCTCATATTCTTGGAATGAGTCTAAGGCCCATTGAGTTTTCATTCTTAAAATATGGAGGTAAAGATAGGGCCCCACTCTACATCAGCATGTAAAGTCTTCCTAACTTCCTGTGTTCAGTGTGGTCTATCTCCACACTCGAGAACTGTGATGTTCCAAATAGTCTCCCAGATCACAATCGGTGTTTGTTTTTTCTCCCATTTTGATGCCCTGCTGAATGGCATTGTCTGGCACATGGTTGACATTTGGAAGTTATTTTCTGGCTTGTAGTTTTAATGTGGTGAATGAGCTCTCCATTAATCTGACCTCAGCTGACCTGTCCAGCCTTCCTGTGGCCTACCATTCTCATACCTCCTCGTCATTGGTTCTCAACATGTGATCCTCATTTCATAAGCCTCACTATGATCTGGGAGCTTGTTAACTGTGCAAATTTCAGGGCCTGATTCAGGACCTATTAAGTTAGAAGCACTGCGAACAAGGTCCAGCAATCAGTTTTAACAAGTCCTTCGGGAATGCTGAGAGTCTTTGGCAAAGCAAAAGCCCTGGGTTTCTTCTCACCTTTGGGCCTTAAATAAAGCTCTTTCTTCAGACTGAATTGCTGTTCACCCCACTCCCAATATGACAGCTCTGATTCATGCTTTAATATTTAACTACATATCATCTCTTACAGAAGGCAACCAACCTCCATCATCCAAGGCATGAAATAGACCTCGCCTGCACTTCCACATTACCTATACCCGCTGATTCATTAAACTGGGCCAGGGTTCAGACCTCCTGCTACCTTTTGGGCCAAGATTTCTTTGAAGTAGTAACTGTTAAGTGATTATCAAGTTTGTTTCTCTCTAATCAGTTCACAAAAATAGAAGCACTGACTCATTACCTGGAAATATGATTCATTATTGCTTGGGAGACCAATGCTAAAATTTGAAATTACGCTTGTCCCTGGGGTCAGGGCTGATACTCCAAGAGCCAAATTCTTCGTGGCAATATTCACACGTGGTGTGCTATTTAAGTCTATCTTGAAGGCCAATTCATCAATTGTTTTTAAAGCTCTAAAGAAATGATAATCGTACAATTGTTAAGTCACATGATTTTTTAAAAGGGATTTAAACATACATGTTTTGCTGCATGGCACAAATCAAATAAATTATCTTTAAGTTTTCTGATATTAATATAAATACTTGTAAGATTATCCCAAGCCATAATAATATCAGTTAAACAAAGTTGCAGTACCAGATGCATAGGCAAGAGAAATGTCTGCTGTAGGAAAAAAATCAAGCTGGGTGCTGGTGATTTGAACCTGTAATCCAACGTACTCAGGAGGCTGAAATCTGAGAATCATGACTCAAAGCCAACCCAGGCAGAAAAGTCTATGAGTCTCTGATCTGCAACAAACTACTCCTCCCCCCCCCAATTCCTCCAAAAGCCAGAAATGAAGCTATAGCTCAAATATTAGCCTTGAACAAATAAAGCTCAGGGACAGCACCCAGACCCTGAGTTCGAACCCCAGGACTGGCATACAAAAAAAAGAAAGTGAAGAAAAAAACCAACAACCAAAAACTCAAGGATGAAAGGACAAACACTGCTTTTGCATTTCTCAGCATCTCTTTCCTCTCATGAAAAAATACCCTTCCACCTGATCACCTACCAACAATCAAAGGAAACAGTAAAAGGGTTTGAGGAACTGCCAACACTGGAAAAGTGTTTGCAAGTATTCTGATGGAGATAAGTTGAGAATACATTTCAACACATATTTAATTTTCATCCAAGAAATGTGATTGAAAGGAAACAAACAGAAAAATTAAACACTTGAATACTAAATGAAATAACTGGATACAGTATTAATATTAATAAATGAATTGTGTAGGCCCTATGAAGACAGCTACATTTTAATCTACCCTAAACATCTCCATGTAGAAGTCCACATAGCTGTAGCAGTTTGCAACACACATCATAGGACTGCAGACTTATAGAGATGAATTTACACATCACTGGTTAACTGGTTAACTTTTAGACTATTTTCAGATGAAAAATGTATTAATCATGATATACGAGTTGTGCCTTGGGGACTATTTATGTATCTTCCCAAGGGCTAACTCTAATCAAATTGTAAATTATATTTCTTCAAAAAGGGGGACCTTTGAATAAGTGCTTTGTGAATGAGCTTGGGAACTGTCTGTATATCTTCTAGAGATCTGAATGATAAAGTCTAAAGAATTCAGAGTATAAGTCATAAAACAACACATGTATTCAACATCTTGACTCTCCAGCTTAAAAATAATGACGCACTTACTCAGAAGAAGACTCAAACAAATCACCATCTGAACTGCTCAAGATATTCGAAAAGATGTTGATTAGCATGGAGCCGAGTGTGAGATCAATATTTTCTTCTTTACTCACAAGTCTTTTGACCTGTTCCACAATATTGTTAATATTGGCAGAAGTCAGGTTCTGCCCATCAGCAGTTAAATTTAAAATCTGATTGGCAACTTGGTTTGCCTCCACTGAAAAAGGAGCAGAAGAAACAATGCACAAAATTTTATCTATGGCTTTTGAGCATTTCCAGGAATGCAAACAATAGAGCTATCGCATTTTATAGTGGAAGAGGTTTTGTACGTGGAGGACAATATTACTTTATACACAAAGAGTACCTTTTTTCTTTAGTAAGAAACAAATAACTTGGAGGAACCAAGTATTCACCTTTTGCTCTAAGAGAAATACTCCCAGAATCACTGAGTGAGAATCTTAGCAGTTGGAAAATGTAAAACTAAGAAATGTTAATATAAATAGCTATTCATGTATTAATTCTTCTTTAGAATTTACTTACTATTTTAACCTTCTAAGAAAGAATAGAATCCTGCATAATTTATCATATTCCAATGTATTTTACATCTAATTTCATCATATCAGAGAGATCATGAGTCGTTTGTTTCTCTGAGCTTGGCTTACCTCACTTAACACCATTTGTTCTAGTACCATTTATTTCCCTGTAAATAACATTATTTTATTCTTTCTATGGCTGTGTAAAATTCCATTGTGTATAGGTACCACAGTTTTTGGATCCACTCATCTATTCTGGGGCATCTGAGCTGTTTCTATTTCTTGGCTATTGTGAATAGTGTGGCAATGAACACGGATGTGCAGGTGTCTTTACCATATCCTCTCTCACACAGTGAGACCAAACCAGGATTCTCTTAGGAAAGAAACACAAAGGCGCAATGCATCAGTGCCTCTTCAGATTTGTATATGAAATAATATACATACTGAGGCAAAACAAGAGACCTCGTCTCTCTCTCTCTTTCTTTCTTTCCCTCCCTCCCTTCCTCCCTCTCTCTCTCTCTCTTTCTTTCCCTCCCTCCCTCCCTCCCCTTTCTTTCTTTCTTTTTTTCTCTTTCTTTCTTTCGTCTTTTCTTTTTGCCCTTAGTTTTTGATGATTCTGTCTTCTTTACCTTATTGAACATTTTCAGAAGGGTTGTGGGGAGAGTACAGAACTTGGAAAAAGGGTAAAAAAGTGCAGCAGTAGAGCTCACTAGACACTGATGAAAGTAAACTATATAACTCATAGGTGGAGACAAAAGGGAGGGACTGGGAGAGAATGAGGGAACAGACGTCATTGTACGGAAGGAAGTGTCCTTATTGCCTGACTTATCTAATTATAATCCTTCTGTATATCACCTCTATAATAACAACAAGGTAAGGAAATAAATAAATAAATAATGAATAGAATCAAAATGTACATTGATAGTTAAAAAAAAGTAGGACTTTCTACCTTAACTAAAAGCATCATTGGCCTAATTTTTAATATGAAAAGTATCCTATGGCAGAACATGTCTAAAGAGAGTAAAAAACAAGTCATATCTGATTATTTCATGTTGTCTTTGGGATCTGAAGGAAAGTTGTTCACTCACTTGAGCATTCAGAGAGAACCAGGGGCCCCCAGTAGGCTACGGATAAGTTGGAATTGTTGCGGTAACTACAAAACACACAAATAAAAGGGTATGTCAAATATTTTGCACATGTGAAATTACAACTGACAAGCTCAGTTAATAAATTTCAGAATTTCTCTTGATATCCATGGCTAGTTCCCATGTGAAAATAAAGCTGTAACACAACGAAATGAAACACATACCATAAATCTCTTTCTTGGAAAATACAGTGCAGTAGCTTACCCCCATAGAAAGAAAACCCCAGAAATACTCTGTATCTTAACCCAGAGCACAGCAACTGATCAACAATGCTGCTCTGGTGAATTTTCTGGTCAAATCTGAGTTTGATTCCTCTTTACTCTGGGAAGCAGATTATAATCTACAAATATCGACGAGGCCAATATGTAGATTGAGAAAAACCAAAGAATGTTCCAAAGTTGTCTGATAGGATAAGGTCAGGCCTCATTTCTAGCTCTAGTCTATAAATCTCTAAAGCCCTCAGTTTTCTCCCTACAGATGACAAAACACAGCCCTTGATGGACAGAAAACATTGTGTTTTTTTAAAAAAATAGATGCCTAGTTTTATTTTTTAATATAATTTTCCTATTATTTTCTGTTTATGTAGTACCGAGGAATTGAACCCAGGGCCTCATGCATGCATGTTAGGCAAGTGCTCTACCACTAAGCCACCTTCCCAGCCCCCAGAAAGGAAATGTTTACACTGAAGTTTCCATTTCTGATTGTTCTCCAGAAAACTCCAACTGTGTGTGTGGTTGAAAACCCCCACTAGATTTGACTTACTGTTTGGTAAAGCCCTGCAATTGTCTGGTCTGTGGTTTCTGTTAGATACTTGGGAGGAATCTTCGACATCCTGACAGCTTCTATCAGCAGACTGCCAAACCTGGGCCTTGCCTTTATTTCATCTTTCATGAGGCTTCTCCTCCTCAAATAGTGATGACATCTTAGGATTTTAAGTGCATGTTCCAGGATGTAGCCCAACTAGGTTCATCCTTCTGCAAGGTAGGTACTTGGCTGTGGAACTGTCCTCTGGTTTTTAAAATTTTCCATCTTTTTTGGGGAGAAGGCATTAGCATACTGCAGGGAGAAAAACTCTACTTATTTCTACCCCCACAAAGTGCAAGATTCCTGCCCTATTCTCAATCAGCAAAAGCACGAGTACTGTGCAGCCTGGGAAACCCTAGGGAGGCAGATAACCCTGGAAGGAGAAGCGGAGCTGGCCAGCATCCGTGTCATTTTTACCATGTTCGTGAAGCGAAAAAGCCAGGCTTGTCGGGACACTGTTGCCTGTACTCCGAAGGTGAGATGGCTGGCCAGTGAAAGCCTTTGGGTTCCTCCACAGCAGCACACATGCCTGCGCGAAAAGAAAGACGAGGGCAGCAACTAGTCATCCATTCATGGACACTAAAGAGGCCTTACAATGCTGGTAATTAGATGTCTATTTCATGGGATAATACTAACATACCCATGTGTTACAGTCAGGACTTACAAACATTGTAACTGAGAGAGAATTTAACACATATAATACAGTTCAGATGTAAAAAAGATTGTATCTCACAAAACCATCCTATAATAATGAGCTCATGCAAGTACAAAACACAGAAAACATCTATTACCATTTGTGTAAATCAATTGCAGGTAGTTATTGGTAAAAACAGATCGTTTTTTTTTTCAGTCATGGAGCTTGAACTTAGGGCCTGGGAACTATATCTGAGCTCTTTGTGCTCAAGGTTCGCACTCTACCACTTTGAGCCACAACTCTACTTCCAGTTTTTGAGGGGTTAATTGGAGATAAGAGACTCATGGGAACTTTTCTGCCCTGGCTAGCTTTGTACTTGGATCCACAGATCTCAGCCTCCTAAGTAGCTAGGATTACTACTGGTGCCTGGCTTAAAATAGATTTTATTTAGTTTAAAAAAAACCTATGAAAATAAAAACAAATCTGGAAAATTCAAATAAAAGTTAATGTTTTTGGTAAGCAGGAGAAAGCCAAAATACTGTGGGTATATATAGAAAATTTCACTGAGCATACATGGAAATATTCTAGTTGTTCTGACAGTACCTACAGCCTAGAAGCTTCCTGGGGAAATGGCATGAAGGCTCCTGTAAGTCAACCCCACCTGGTCTTCCCTCATCCCTTCAGCCTCAAATCATTCCACTTTTGGTGGGTAATTGTAATGCTATAAATGACTCTCATTCTTCTTCTTTGAAAAAACATCACAATAGCATCATTTCAAAGACCACAGTGGATCTCAAGCTTCAGTACTGACAAAACAAACATATGGGCCTTCTGGGAGCCAGTATTGTATTTGTCAACTGAAAATGCAGACTGCTTTCCCGCCTATAGTTTGACCTTTAATTATCAGTGTTAGCTTATAATATTTCAAATGGTAGAAGCTTCTTCTTTACAGACTTACTTGTAGAGAACAATGAATTGTAGAATTTAAGTGGCATAAATGAAATTATCTGTGTATACACAGAGAGTTGTTGGGAAGATAGCCTTGGGGGACAGCGGGTAGTAGTCCTTGAACCTGAATTCATCACAAAATTTCCTTGTGGTGACTCCGGCATGTGGAAGGTTGGCATTAGTGGTTGCCCTTGTCTGCACAAACAGCCCTTGTATGAGGAAGCAGGTATTTTCCTGAAGGGACTTCATAGACTGCTCATTGTTATGGCTACTCTTATTATTTCATTTCATTTCATTTGTTTTTGCCAGTCATGGGGTCTGAACGCTACACCTGGAAACTGCCTTGAGCTCTTCAGCTCAAGGCTAGTGCTCTACCACTTGAGCCACAGCACCACTTCCAGCTTTTTCTGCTCATGTAGTGCTGAGGAATCAAACCCAGGGCCTCATGCATGCAAGGCAAGCACTTTGCCACTGAGCCACCTTCCCAGCCCATTCATTTATTTTTTAAGTATATTTTATTGTAGAGGTGATGTACAGAAGGGTTACAGTTACATAATTCAGGTAATGAGTACATTTCTTTTTAGACCATGTCACTGCTTTGATTTTTCTCCTAGTTCTTCCCTCCTGTCCCTACCCACAAGGTGTATAGTTCATTTTCCATATAGTGTCTAGTGAGTACCACTGCTGTATTTGTTCACCCTTTGTCCCACCTTCTCCATACCCTCTCTTACCCTCCCAAAGATAAATAAACAAGACAAAAGGACATGACAATAAAAAGAGCAACAACAAAAAGCCTTATTTCATTTCTAGGAGTTCATTTTGTAAAATATTATTTTATATGATCATATTAGCATAAGCACATAGCTATTGAGCCTTTGTGATTGATTCCTATGAATATCTCCTTTGGTCTCAATGTCTCTAGAGATCTTTCTGCCCATGAAAGAAATGCAAATCAAAACAACATTGAGATTCTACCTCACGCCAGTTAAAATGGCCATTATCAAGAAAATTAACACTACCAAATGCTGGTGGGGATGTGGCCAAAAGAGAAGTCTATTAACTGTTGGTGAGAATGTAAACTGTTCAACAGCTCTGGAAAGCAATATGGGGGGTTCCACAAAGAACTAAACATACAGCTTCCCTATGACCCAGCAACTCCAGCAGAACACTAACAGCACCACCCTAAAGTGACCAGCACAACCACGTTCACTGCAGTATTATTTACCATAGCTAAGACATGGGATCAACCCAGATGCCCCTCAATGGATAAATGGATCAAGAAAATGTGATATATATATATATATATATATATATATGCAATAGAATTCTACTCTTCCATCAGAAAAAAAAAATGATAGTGTACCATTCTAAAGAAATGGAAAGACTTGGAAAAATATTATACTAAGAGAAGTAATCCAAACCCAAAGAAACATAGGTTGCATAGTTTCCCACATTTGTGGTAACTAGAATGAGCCTATAAATCTACAAGTAAACCTACTGGATGGTAAAAAGAAATGCCCTGGGACATTATTTTATTATTTTTTCTTTCTTTCTTTCTTTTTTGCTTTTTAAATTGTCTTTAAGCAGTGGTACAAAGGAATTACCATTTACAAGGAAGGTTATGAACACAATGCCTTTAGTATTATTATTATTATTATTATTATTACTTGAATTTTTCACTTCTGTGAGTTTCAGGAACTGTGTGAGCTGACATAATAGAGGTGAATAGTTAGTCATAGAGGTGGAGATGCCTACTTCCTTTACCACACTGTGACCTGGCCACAATCCTACATGCCCTTTCAGAGGCCAAGAAGTGCCTGCTTCCCCCATGTCAGCCCCCTAAGTGCACAGGAGGTAAAACATCAACATTTTCTTCTCTCCTAGTTTTTACTAAAGTTCCCAATCCTAACTGTAGTCATTCAGTAACCTGAAAACAATTGCTTTCATTGCTCACAGTTTTGAATATCAGCTTTTAACAACTATTTCCACCAAGATTCACTTGTTTGTTTATTCAACAACTATTCAAATGATGTAAAATGTGCCAGGATAAGTTCCAGGAGAGATTACTATTGGGAGAAAATATTTATAGGCTCATATATAAATCTAATAGAAGCTAATAGTCTTCTATGTGTACGGTGCTCAAGGGAACTTGACAGTACGAAGTGCAGGCTCAAAAGTGGTGATGAATTCACAAATGACGATGTCAGAAAAGGCCTCTCAGAAAAGATGACTTTGCAGTTATCTTTCAAAATATATAGGTGACGAGTGAGTCAAGAGGGAGAGTAGAAATGAGTGGTGTGGATAGAGATGTGACCAGGAAGAGGGCATGAATGGGAACGTGCAAGCGGTACTACAGGTATGGTTGGATCTGAGGGGGTAAGAACTGGAGAGAGTGGATGCTAGGTACAAGATCACGGTCCAAGATTCCTGCCTTTCCCCTGCAAAGACAGTGGTGTCATTAATGCAAACAGGGAAGGTGAGAAAGAAATGTGTGATAACAAGAAAGCTCTTTGGCATTACCCGGTTGGCAATTTCACATGCACACCTCCACATAGTCAGTCTTATCCCAGTGATGGTTATTCATGCATTTTACACTAATGTTTTTGTGGCCTGTTGGGATAAATGTGTTCTCTCACCTGCTTCCTTCATTTGTTTAGCTTCACAGCTACTAACATGACTTCTGTCACACATGGATTGTATTCTCTGACCCACGAAATTTCATCATCAGAAAATAAAAACGTGGGGTTGGTAGAGATAGATGACCACAGAAAGGGTGACAGTGAACAAGATGCGCAGTACTCATCAATTGCTGTGCTAGATTAAAACCTTGTAAAACTAATTCAAGATAATTTTTTAAAATTTTAAGAAAAAATATTGTACATAGGCAAATTACACAGTGAGTGTATGACTATGTCTTCATTCATAATCATATGAAACTGTAAAAGCAGGTGCGGTGTCACTCACCCAGTTGCTTCACACTCACTGTGTGCAGTCTCAATCCCTCATCCAGAGACTCGTTGTTCTTTAAAAGCTTCTGCTGAATGGTTTTTCCTTCTAAGGTGACATTGTTGGTAGCATTGTAAACAAGAAGGGCCCAAATCACCAACCTAGGAAGACATTTCAGACAGATTCATTCGGGGGACTGTTGCCTGGTTGTTGTTGTTGACAATGATGATGTTGTTTTATGGGGGGGAAGAATAATGTGTGCCTATGAAGTACGGGTTGAAATGAATGGCCAAGGTACTCTTAGATTTTGCTGCAGTGTGAGTTAGATTGTAAAAGTATTTCTTCATGAATAGATTTTTGTGAGACATTCCATTGTGCTACTTCATCTCAGAAATATTGTAACATCAAATATCAGTAATAATTTATGTGCCACTTTTGGTTCTCTGGTGGTTAATGGGAGGCAAGAATCTCACAAATGTTCCAGCCCGGGCTAGCATTGAACAATGATCCTCAGATCTCAGCCTCTTGAGGAGCTAGGATTACAGGCATGAGCTACCCTCGCCTGGCTGATTTAGAGTAATTTTATACTCAATTACAATTCTAGCTACAGCCAACAGCAAAAATTAAAACTATCAATTCAACACCAGGGTAAAAAATCAAATGACAACTGTTTCATTAAGTAGAAATTTTTTCTTTGTAGATGAAAGTTCTGCACTTGAAACACTCCTTACATTTTCTTCACATCGTGAAAGGAAATGAACAATGCAACATGAAGTGTTTTATTATTCAGACCAGTTATCATCTGCATGCCAAAGACAATAGGAAGTATGTTACCATGGAGGGAGAGGCATATTCCATATTTGAAATTTGGAGAAAATGAGTACAGAGTACATGTTTATGATGCTAAAAATAAGGAGTAAGCTAAATACTTGTTATTCAAGCTTAGGTGCAGCAATAATCCAACCATCAAGAACAAATTCCTGTAGTGTCATCATAATGCACTGTTTGTCTATAATGACTTGCAGCTTTACAGTCATATTTCAGGGTAAGGTAAATGTATTTGTAAGCCAGGCACTAGTGGCTCACACCTGCAATCCTAGCTATTCAGGAGGCTGAGATCTGAGGATTGTGACTAGAAGCCAGCCTGTGTAGGGAAGTCCATGAGACTCTTATCTCCAATAAACTACTAAGGAAAAGCCAGAAGTGATGCTGTGGTTCAAGTGGTAAAGTGCAAGCCTTGAGCAAAAGAAGCTCAGGGATAGTACTCAGATCCAGAGTTAAAGCCCCAGGACTGACAAAAATATAAAAAAGCATTTGTGAACTTAATAATTTCTAACTGGCCTATAAACAAGTATCCTTTCCTTAAATCCTGGTTTGAAGATAAGATCTGTGACTCCAGTTACTGAGAACTTGCAGTTGGGAATGTGGCATTTTACTTCTCTTGAATGTTGATATCATCATTAGCGCAATGCATTGTGGACAGTAATGAATACACAAACACTGTCATTCAAGAAAAGCCAGGCACGATCCCAGGCCTTTGTTGTTTTACTCTCTCATCCCGAAAACTTAAACTACCTTTTGACTCTTCCTATTCTTACTATCACCATTCTTTATTTGAGTAAATTGTTCTGTGGCTTCTGGTTTCCTGCCTGTGCAGGCAATATAGTTGGACAGCTGTGGAGATATGATCAAACTAAAAGGAAAAGTCGGGGGTAGGGTAGGGCACGGAATGTGTGTAAAGCTAGTAGACTGAAGTTTGGAAAAAAAAGAGATTATAAAGACCTGTCAATGAGAAGACAGGCAAGGAACAGAACAGGAGGAGCAAAAGGTAGAAAAATCATTAAAACAATGCCAGAAATCCATGCTAAGGGGAAAGTACACCTAGATGATCTCACTCACACGTTTTAGTTCATTCTCCACCCAGTTTTCTTTGACATTGATTCTTAGTTGGATAGACCTGGAATCTGAGAATCTATGAATTTAAGTGTATTTCAAGCAGGCGTTTCTGAGGTGCTGGCATACATTAATGATGACAGGTTTTAAGCAGTTAGGAAAGGCTCCAGAATAAGTGTGCTGGAAAAGAAATTCTGACTTCCTGGGGAGGGCGTGCCATTGGTCATACCCCAAACTAGAGTGGCTTCCAGCAAAGGAATGCAGACCGCTGCTGGATCCATTATTGAAGGCACAACAGAAGTGAATTATAAGGATTAGAAAAGACAGTTTGGCTAAGAAGAGGAGTCCTATCACTTACAATAGTGAACTATATTAGTTTTCAGATCATAAAGGAAAAGGAACATTGAGGAAATACAGCCACATTTGCTCCTCAGGGGCTGTGACTCCATCCAGTTTATTGAATAATCTACAGAGACAATGAGCCTTCACATTGCTCTTTTTCTTTTAAATGCTCTACTTCTCAATTTATTCCCCATCAGATTTAATCTCTTCCCTGTCTGAACTATTGCAGCTTTAACGATAAGGCAGAAAAGTGAGTATTAGTATCAATGAATAAAATGCTCTCCCCCTTTCCTATTTCATTGTTATTGTTTTTCTACCAGATTAGGCCGAAGGCAAGAGACAGAATATCACACTTCACAGAAGACTTTGCCCAGGGTACCTTTGATCATCCACAAGGCTTCTCTTCACTTTAGTCTTGTCCTCACTTGTGCTTAGGTGAAAACTGTGGGCATAAACACATCTATTAGGTATCAGCCTTCTCCATCATGTCAATAACAAGACAATTAGGGGGATGGGGAGTGTACAAGGAGGAATCAGAGTGGATGTCCTAAGCCAATATTTCCAAACGCCTGTTCTGAGGTCCTTGAGTATTTTTCGTTTTGTTTTGTTGTTGTCGGTCGTGGGGCCTGAACTCTGGGTCTGGGCGCTGTCCCTCAGCTCTTCAGCTCAAGGTGAGCGCTCTACCACTTGAGCCACAGCACCACTTCCGGTCTTCTGAGTGGTTTATTGGAGATAAAGAGTCTCACAGGCTTTTTTGCCCGAGCTGGCTTTGAACCACCACCCTCAGATCTCAGCCTCCTAAGTAGCTAGGATTACAGTCGCGAGCCACCCCTTGAGTGTTTTTGAAAAGATGGACAGGTCACCCTCTCACTCTTGTGAAGATTCTGCGTGTATTTGATCAGTGAACCCGAGTCATTCTCAGAAAGAAGCTGCTTCCATAATGGACTTCCTGGATTGATAACTTGAGCCTCTATTTTTCCATTTCTTTTTTTCATTTTAAAATTATTTTAAATTATTTTTAAAATTTTAAATATTTTAAAAATTATTTTAAATATTTTAAATTATTTTAAATAGGAGTTACAACAATGTGGTTTGTGAATACACTACATCTTGATCCATGTCATCACTTTCAACATTCTCACCCGCCCCTTCCCTCCCCCCCTTTCCCTCATTCTTCTTAATTTTGTAGGCTATACGCTGGATTCTTGACTGCATTCCTCCCCCTCTCTCCTCTTCATTTGTCTACCCCTTTTCCCTTCGCCTCATTCCTTTCAAGTACCTGTTTCCTGATGTGTATTTTGATGAACTTTGCCTTTGCCTTGCCGTCCTTAAGGAATTACTGGATTATTGGAGTTCTCCCTTGAATCTACCATATTTCTGTGAATGCATTTGCATACACTTGCATACTACTCAACACATTTGCATTTCTGAGGTCTACTAAATATATGTGTAAGTGTTATAAAATACAATTTAGAAAATGAGTACACAATTGTTCTACTTCTTGCTGGAAGTAAAGAGAAAAAAAATAGTGAAATGCCATTTTGAAAAGCTAGGCTGCAATCAGACTATAGATTTCTTTTATAGAAAAATGTTTTGGTTTTCAAAATGAGGATGCAACCCAGGAGTTGCATGATTCCCTGGAGTGTAAAAAGAAACATCTTCTGTCTATGGTCAACAACTTTTAACTTTGGGCACATTGGAACAGTTAATATATCTATTCAGTTACATATAAACCCACATATACAGTTTTTTTTAGTACAGTCTCTTCTCTCTCTCTCTCTCTCTCTCTCTCTCTCTCTCTCACACACACACACACACACACACAGAATTAGACATTACTCTGTTTCTCAGATAGTAAGTTCTGTCCTTTACCTGATATTAACCACATAAACAGTGTAATTCCAATTCTGGAAGGTTGAATTGAGCTGGAAAACACAATGGAAGACAAAGGGTTTTAGTGATACTTTTTTAAAAAGCAAGAGTAGCATTTCCTTTCTCCCTAAAGGTAAGTTGGTTAAAAGTGACAAAAACCTGGCAACTGCAGAAGTAAAATAATGGCACTATTTGCTAGATGGTTATTTGTGAAGAATTGGATACTATCTCGTCAACTCCTAACAAAACCAGTGAACTAGGTAATATCTCCTTCAACTCCACTTCCTTACTTCAAGGAACTGAGCTTTGCAGAGACAAAATAGCTTTCTTAAGACTGTGTCACTCTTAAGAACAGATGCTGGAGGGGATGTGGACAGAAGGGAATCTTATTTCATTGTTGGTGGGAATGTAAACTTGTTCAACCACTTTGGAAAGCAGTATGGAGGTTCCTCAAAAGACTTCACATAGAACTCCCCTATGACCCAGCAATTCCACTTTTGGGCATTTACCCAAATGTTTACAAACAAGACCACACTAAAGCTACCAGCACAACTATGTTTATTGCAGCATTATTTACCATAGCTAAGATATGGAACCAACCCAGATGCCCCTCAGTAGATGAATGGATCAAGAAAATGTGGTATATATACACAATGGAATTCTATGCCTCCATCAGAAAGAATGACATTGCCCCATTTGTTACGAAATGGAAAAACTTGGAAAAAATTATATTAGATATACATATTTCTTTGTTAACCTGATTCACATCCTCCTGCTTCTACACCACCTCCAAAGGGTCCTTCAAGTCTCCTTTACATACCTCTAGCTTTCCTGGGAGAATTACTAAAATCCAGTGTAAATTTTAAAAAGTGATAGCAAGACAATGTTGAATTACTTTAAAAAATTGTAAACAAGAACAGAAGTTGAGAATACTTTATCAAAGTGCCTGGGGCCAGAAGGGTTTCAGATTTCTGATTATTTTTCTGACTTTACAATATTTACTTAGATTTTTTTACTTGTTGATCATCTTTAATGCCAAAGTCCCAAAGAAGCATTTTGAAATTTGAATTTGGGTGTTGGTGATAATCAAGCTGTATTATGAATCAGATGACTCATTACATTTTCTCTATGTCTACATTGGAAACTACAGTGTTACTCAAAATATGTTGGAAATGAACTTTCTAACTTGAAGGGAGGGAAAGTGGGAGAAAAACGAGGGAGGGAGTAACAGTGTTTGACAAAAAAGTACTCATTACCTTTCATATGTAACTGTAACCCCCTGTACATCACCTCAACAGTAAAATTAAATTAAAATATATTATTACTATTGTAGTATTGGGGATTGAATCCAGAGCCTTTAAAATGCTAGGGAAGCACTCTAATGCTTGAACGATGTCACCAGTCCTTTTCATTTTTTTAGGGGAGGGGTCCAGTCATGGGGCTTGAACTCTGGGCCTGGGCGCTGTCCCTCAGCTCTTCAGCTCAAGGCTAGTGCTCTACCACTTGAGCCACAGCGCCACTTCTGGCTTTTTTCTTTTTGCTTGTGTGGTGCTGAGGAATCGAACCCAGGGCCTCAGGCATGCAAAGCAAGCGCTCTACCACTGAGCCACCTTCCCAGCCCTTGTTTTATTTTTTTGAGCTATGATCTTGCTAATTTTGCTGGCTCTCAACTTGAGATCTTCCTACCTCTGCTTCCTGAGTGGCTGGGATTACAAGTGTGTACCACGATGCTCAGCATTCACTTATCTTTTGAGAGCATCTAATAAAGCTTAGCTTTAGGTGAAAAGAATGTTAGACTAAAATTTGTGCACAAAGTAGCCGTAAATGTCAAAATACTTTGTTTAGATTGACATGGAAAAAGAAAAGGAAAAAACCCTATATGTTATGGTTTTAAGACGAAGAAAGCAAACATCAAATTTTTAAAAATTGGAAATAACTGTTTTAATTTTAATTGATGCTTACCCATAAACTAAATAATAATCTACACATAATCAACAAACCACTTATTAAATAAGTGATGAGACAATAAACTGCTACAAATCTCTATGTACAGTTCTGTACTAATGGTGCATGGCTTACCACAGGAACAAGTACAGGATACATTGGTATGTGAACTCTACTGTTTGGGTGCAAAACTGAGAGGGAAATAGCCCATATAGCTATTTTCTTCTATAAACACAAAGACTGGAAACTACTAATAACAGTAATAATAATAATGCGCCCTAAAATTGACTTCAAAGCAAATAAGTTGGTTTAAAATGACAGGCACGAATGAGCAGAAAACTGTTTCATATGTTTTGATTTTGATCAAGTATTCCAACTAGTAAAGAAATCTATCAAAACATAGCTGAAAATATATAGATTTAAAATTAAGTAAAAGTATGTCCCAATCTATTTCCATTTGTGTAATATTTGTCAAAGATAATATCCATGATATTACTTCTATTATCTATGATAGTATCCACTTATCATGGATAAAGACATGGTTTACTTTTGTATCCTATGTTCAAATCTACTTCTCTTCCTACCCATAAACACAAGGCCTTGATTGTTAGATACCAATCTATATATCTACAATAAACACTGAAGTCTGTTTTAATACAATCTGTGCATTCACTCAGAATTTTTCCCCATTTCCAGAAGGTAAATGCTAGACACAACAATGAAATGTCCCAAGTTCACTTACCCACTCTGCTACCTTGCTCTGTACTTTCACTTCAGGGTGATGAAGGATGTTTTGCACCACTATGGATATTCTATACATAAAGCCATCTGTTCATTGGAAATAGAATCAACCCATTATTCACAGTTTACAATCATATCCAATAATGAAACTTACAATCACTTAATGTTACACAAATTAAAAGAAATACTTTTTACATGGGCACAGGACACTTTGGGGGTATTTTGTGACCCCTTAGAAATAGTTATCAATCAGTTTATTATTACAAACAATTGATGATATGCTTATAGTTTGCTCCTAAATTATCACTTGCATATGAAGTTTAAAATATTCACTTGCTAGTTTTTAATTCTATAGATTTTGATATCTATTTTCTGTAAGTAGTATTTTCTTCATGTACAGTTTGAAGTGTTGAGATTCTGGGCAAACGTTATTAACTGTTAACTTAAAGAGGAACATACAGATACATATTTACTGTCTTTTCCTCTTCTCAGTTCTTTTTATTCTCCTCTCCTTAATAAGACATTTACTCCTATTAAACTCTTAGGTTGGATCTGACCATGTATTTCATGACAATGTCCTCAACATGGTCAGTTATAGCAAAGTACAAGGCAAATATTTGCTGATAGAATTGCAACAGGACTAGTTTGCTTTATAGGTTATAGTGAGACCCTGTCTCCAGAAAAGTGAATTTGTATAGTAAGTTAACAAGAAAAGAAAAGAAAATCTGTTGTCATTTATGTTTTTCAGACTTTAGGTAAGTTTTAATTGATACATGCAAAAATACAGAAACATGAGAAACTTATATAATAAACTATGGGTAGAAAAAAATATGTGATCCTTCTGGGAACTCCCAACTGTACCAGAATGCAAATTCCAATCCCACTGGGAAAGGAATGACTCTCCAGAAGAGGAGTCAGTCTCATGCCAAATAACAGAAAATTCCAAGTCCAGATGGAACAGTGTGTGTGTGTGTGTGTGTGTGTGTGTGTGTGTAACTGGACAGATCAGTTTAATTTATGAAGATTATTTGATTTCAACTTCTAAAGCTCTGGGTGATCTGATCTTATAATCCTTCAAAAGATATTCTGAATAGAATATTTAGAAAAATATAAAACAAGTAGTAACTAAGTGAAATGAACTCTGACACTGCTGATCTCATCATGTCAAATCATGGACATTTTGAATCACTGGCTGAAAAGAAATGCAAGTTGTAGAGGCCCAAGAGTTCCTTCAGGATCCAAGGAATGGTCTGTGACTATCTACCTAGACTCCTGGAGTAACCCTCAAGCACCACTAGATGGAGCTCTAAAGCACTCGTTTTCTTTTAAGTAAGGTTTGATGTCTTACTACAAAATATTTTTTAAAAAATCAGTATTTTAACTATTGAAGTTTTTTAATTTTCATCTCTTGCTTTATGCTTTATCAGTTGTTTTAATAAGTGGGAGAGACATCCAAAGTCAGATGATCTCTATTATTATATTACATTAGGTTAATATCCCAAATAACTACTTTATACTTGGATACTCTGGCACTATGGATAATTGACTATGGATAATTTTTCTTGAGAGGTCTTAGAATTAAATATTTTATAAAAAATGTAAAATTCTCAGCAAAACCTCCTCAAAGCTTTTGAACAGTGCGGTCAACAGAAAATTATACATCCAAGAGTACAACACCAAAGAAGATAAAACATCCACCAGAGAGTGGTGGGAAGGGTGTGGGACTGCAGCAAATGAACTAGCTGAATCATGGCCAGTGAAGGAAACACACAGGTGTCACCAAGCCATCTCCTAAAGATAATACAACTTGCATGATATCTCACTGCAATCACTATTTGTAAACTTTTATGTGCTTCAGAGATTTCAGGAGATATATCTATTGTCTACACGATGATATGGAGAGCAGAAGAATTCCTGATGGTCAGTTCTTTCGGGAGGGAGGGAAGAGATAAAAACCCATAATATATTCACTTTCCAATCAACTACATCTTCCAGCCTTCAAAGAACTTTAAGGTGGAAATTGCTGTCTGCAAGTGCAGATGTGGTATATTACAACAACATTCCTTCCTTTCCGTGTCTCCAATTAATCTTTCATTCTGTATTTTGATAACATACTTGGGAGTTTTTTGGATGACATAGAATTGACCGCGTTTACTATACCATCTTCAAAGCTGTGAAATCTAGCTGTGGTGGTTCTGAACATCCGTATTTGACATGCCAGATGTTGAAAACCAACCCAAGGGTCCCTTGAAACTTGAGGTTATTTCTTTGAACTAGTGATAAGGTGACTAAAACCCCACAGAGCCTACACACAGAATTTCTCCAAGTCATCTGGCACACTGAGTGCCAGTCATGGTTCTATGTTTGTTGTGTGATCTATGCTTGAACAGCTGAGCAGATGTGAGGAAAGGCGAAGGAACATTGGAATTTGTACTTGCAAACTAGATTTTCAGAACAGCAGCAGGATTCCTGGAGTTAATTCCCTACTTGGGAAAGTAGGGAACTTCCAAAAGGTTCTACACACTACAGGGTTATTTCAAGCAAAGAAGTTGTGATTTGCAGTGGAAAGAGTAATTACTCCAGGAGCTTTCTTGGGAATGTAATGGAAAAAGCAACAATGAGAATTTTATGTGGGAATGCCTATATCATCCATAACATCCTAAAAGGTCTGCTTGCAAACAGTAGTTTAAGACTTCCTGAGTATAGAATCTGATATAGTATATCCTACTGAAAATAATGAAAAGAACTTTACACCAAAGAAATGGAACATTTCACCAAGGTCAGAACAAAATTCTTTGATCCAATATATGTGATTATCAAATAATCTGTCTCTCTTATTTCCCCCTTGCTGGCAGATAATTTATTGGACAGCTAAGAAAAATTTGTTAGATCATTGTTTGGATAATTTAATATGGAAGACAACAGATATGAAAGTTGTGTCAATATTTCTTACAAGAGAGAGATTTCCCTCCTTCCCTCCCTCCCCCCTTCCCTTTCTCCCTCCTTTCCTTCCTTCCTTCCTCCTTCCCTCCCTTCCTCCCTCCCTTCCTTCCTTCCTTCCTTCCTTCCTTCCTTCCTTCCTTCCTTCCTTCCTCCTTCCCTCCTTTCCTTCCTTCCTTCCTCCTTCCCTCCCTCCCTCCCTTGCATCTTTCCTTCCTTCCTTCTTTCTCTTACTTTTTTTTGCTACTGGGATTTGAACTTGGGGACCTTATACTTATAAGACAAATATTTTACCACTTTTTTTTGTCGGTCATGGGGCTTGAACTCTGGGCCTGGGCGCTGTCCCTGTGCTCTTCAGCTCAAGGTGAGCGCTCTACCACGAGCCACAGCACCACTTCTGGTTTTCTAGTGGTTTATTGGAGATAAGAGTCTCATGGACTTTCTTGCCCAGGCTGGCTTTGAACTGTGATCCTCAGATCTCAGGTTCCTGAGCAGCTAGGATTACAGGCTCGAGGCACTGGTGCCCAGCTTATTTTACCACTTAAACCATGCCTTTAGCCCCTTTTCCTTTAGGTTAATTTTCAAACAGAATCTCGTGTTTTTGTCTCCAGCTGACCATGGATTGTAATTCTCTTGCATTGGTAGAGTGTAACACTCCACATATCTTGTTATTGAGATAGGGTCTTCGGGGTTACTGGGATTAGGGGTATGAGCTACCATTCCTGGCCAGTATTTTCTAATATATCAGATCAGAAGCCTGAGAATGTTTATCATAACAGTCTCCCAAAGAATAAGAAACTAATGATTGTATGTGAATGATCTTAGATAGTCTAGGATGTGGCACTAAATATCATTTATTTATAAGGAAAACAAAGTCATTCTCTACTTCAAACTTAATTACATCAGAGGAAAAAAATCTTACTGAATATCCTGTCTCTAATACTTTGTCATTTTTCCTTGTTAAAAAGAAAATAGACTCGGGCTCTGAAATATCAAGAATTCAAAGGCACTGTTTACATTGTATTTAATTTCAGTTTTAATTCTATTTATAACAAGCGGCAATGGTTTCATTTTACAATAATGAAATAGATTTCCCTGCATAAATACAGTGTGAAATACGTGAGAAAGAAAAGTGACTCAATTTAAGGGGAAGAAGATTGAATGGGAGAGGCAGTTGGTTCTAGAATATGATACAAGTGATTAAGATGTCTCATACATTTGTGCAACAGTTCCGTGCCTTTTTCCACCACACGGTGACTTCTGGATATGTCTTATAAATGCTATTTCAATCAAGAATCATGAGAATTAGGGACTGTTTCATTAGCGTGGTCAAGAAAAACCATCTTAATGGACTCCAATATTTGCTTGCTTTGTGCAACTCTGGTAAGGGCCGTGACGCAGGACGGGACCCTCAGAACAAGGCTCTCTTCAAGAATGTCAGAAACGACACGAGTGAGTGCATAACTCCACCAAGCCCAGAACTCTGAAGCGCCATATAAATATTCTTGGGCAGTAGAGGATGTGCCAGTCTTGGAGGGGGAAATGCCACAGTGGTTCTTTGTGTGCTCATACAAAGAGTGAAATACTTGTTAGAATTATAATATTCCCATCTGCTGGCCACAGTCCACATGAAATATGCACTGGAAAGTTCAGCTGTTGCTGTTTCTTGGGGGTAGGGGTGGGGTGGCTGGAATTTTTGCTCCATCATAAATCTCCTTGGTGTAACTAAGCAGAATAACCATAAACACTTTCTCTGAATCGGTGTCTTTATAATCCCAATGAAATTTATATCTATGTTTCATGTAGAATATTCCATACTTCCAATGGCTGCATCCTTCCACAGGAAATTGATATAACCTCTGCAGGCAGGGGAAGAAATGAATTATGTGGGTGTCTTTGCTCTGGGTTTTTGCATCCCTGATGATACGTTGCAGATGTCTTGGCCTTACAAGCAAAAGGGCTGGGGTTTAGAAAATTCCTTTGTTGCTAATATCTCATATTTGAGACTATTACTGTATTTGAGGCAATGGTGTGTCACCTGATTGGAATTTCTCCTTATTGTAAGAAATTGAAATAACCAACTCCAAACTACCAACACGCTCGGGATGTGGCCCATAAATAAATAGCAGAATAAAGAAATAATTCATTTAGTTTTTTCCCCTCTGCACATTTCCTCTCATATGTAATTGCTATACTTATGAATTATAAATAATATTAATAGAAAAGTATATTTGGGGATAAAAGGCAAAAAGTATTGGAGGTTACTTGAATTTTGGTCATTCAAAATTTGCCTGGATGTGGGAATAGAACTGAGGGCCAGAGTACTTGTCTAGCATCCATGAAGTCCCAGACTTGCACACCAGTGCCACAAGACAACACAAAACTGACTTACAGCTCTGTTGGTATAGAAATCATTTTCTAGCTGCTAGCTTTCAACAGATAAAAAGAAAGAGCAAAGTGCTGTAGTGAAAATCCACTTAAATGTCACAAATACTGCGACACACATGACTTCCATGAGAAATTAAGTCATAAGAGTTGTTTTGTAAATGAAGAATTCCTTTGAAAACAAGTTCCTAGAAGAGAATAATTTGACAAAACTCTGCAGAATAATACTGCTTCCTCCCCCTCAGATCACTGTTGTAATGTAAATGAGTTCTTTTTAACTGAACTTAGTTTCTCTTATAACTTTCTTTGAAACTTGGGTTAAAAGTCTACAAGAGTAGTGTTGGAAACTTAGTAATTCCCTGTTCCTCACAATGGGAACATAAGAGAACCATATTTATTTATTTTACTACTCTTGCAAATGTACAAATGTACCAATTATTGCCACAGAAGTTTGTCAGAACATTAGATTTTCCCCCATTGAGAATGCAATTTTTATCATTATCATATTCGATAGGCTACAAAATAGAAAACAAAAGTAACAATTTCTTACCATTCATTGGTTTATCGTGTCTGTTAGTAACAGGCATATTAGTGGTGACAATGGGTTCTGGGGTACTAGAAGCATTTACAGTAGCTGGTAACAAACACGAGAAAGATGTCATTTTGCAATAGCACAACAGTTAATATGGAAAAGCAATCCATAATAAATGCATGAAAATACCTGAAGCAAGGACGGTAATTAATTTTTGCTGTTAAGCACAACAGACTAAAAAGTTATAATGCACGGAACGGAGATGGCTCTCTATGACACAGTAAGAATCATGTTCACATGGCCTTGAGTGCCATGTTGTACAGGGTTTGGAACAGGCACAAAGGAACTGGTGAAAAACGATTTAGGTTCTACACCCTCTTTGCCACTGACAGACTTGACAGTCTGTCAAAATACTGCTGAGTCCCCCAAACACGCCAAGCCTGGTCCACTCCCACACTGGAAAATACAGAAGAGAGCATCGCTTTTCATTCATCTGATCTCACTTCTAACGCCTTGTGCCATGATCCACTAGGAAGGAAGCTTTTACAAAGTCATGATTCTCATGTGGCACATAGACTATGCTACTTCATGTAGAAGTATTTATTAGAATAATGAATGCAAAGGGGTCATGGGAAATTAGGAAGAACTATTAAAAATTAAAGCAATATATTTACGTTATTATTTTAAAACTTGCGTGACTTTCCATATTATGTAGCACAGAACCATTTAGTACAGAATAAGCCCAATATTGACCACAATGTATTCATTCAGCATCATGAAAATTTAATGTAGTTACATTAACATTACCCTGTACAGAATAAGCCCAATATTGACCACAATGTATTCATTCAGCATGATGAAAATTAATGTAGTTACATTAACATTACCCTGTATAACATTTTATCTTAAGATATAAGTAGTAATGCCCGACAGAAATTGCCTCATAGACTTGTCTTATACTTACCTACATATTCAGTTTAATTTTCTGCTCACATAAACACTTCTCTCCAAAGTATTCTCTTACTTTATTTATACTAGACCTTCGCAATATGCTCATTTTAAAAAAAGCAACACACAGGGACAAATGAAATCACTCGTGTTTAATAACATATAATCATTCACATTTAGAGAACTCAGTGTTTTATGGAAATGTGGTCACCTGGTATGTGAATACATTCTTTCTCCACTTTGTATTTACCGTGTGTCCCCCACACAAAACAACATCCAGAAATTCCTCTCTTTTGCTGGTTTCTGAATTCCAAGTGCAAATTAAGATTCAAAGCTAAGCAATGACAGCTACATTATCTGTAACAGCAAATGCAGAGGTAACGAAAAACAGAAGACAATGTTGGTTCCCTACCTTGACAGAGAGTTCCCAGGTCAATGCAGTTAGTGAGTTCTGCTACTGGGTGTGGGATCAGGTAGGACCCTAAATCAGCACAGAGAAATACACAAATGTGACTTACGATTTATAGATATTACCCAAAAAGTAAATAGTATGCATCATGTAGTTGGTAGAGCAGGAACAGGCCTAGAAAGAGTCGTCCAACATAAAGAAAGATTCCCGTGCCTTAATTTTCTCCAATGTAAAACCAAGGCCTTGAAATTACCCTCAATATTTTGAGCTTCATTTATCAGCACAATATGGAAAAGTGGTGCTAGAAACTGTGTTCAAAGTTTGGGGCCTTCTTGCCTAATAAATTATAAGATTCTGGTAGAAAGTCAGATAGATAAAAGAATCCAAACCTCAAGGATGAGTTTCAAAAGTGGACTTGGATTATATGCTTGTTTTTGGTTCAACAACGCTGGCATGCCTACGCAATCTGCAATTCCAGAAATCTCTTCCTGTGACTTCAAGTCAGCCTTGGTTCTTTTTATTGTAAGCTTTTACTGACTCATCATGGGGAGGAAATAAATTTTGAGCTGATTTTCTAGAAGCTGTGGTGGATTTTTGTTTCTCGCACTAAATCTTCCTCTGACACTTAATAGACTCTGGGCAAAAGCTTGGGCTTGGGAAAAATGGGCTAACCTTGTTACAAAACACATTGCCTCTGAACAAAAAGAAAACATAATAAACATGAATGGATAGGATATATTTATGTGTGAATACATATAAATTGCAAGTGTCCATGCACACACCTCCATATCTAATATATAATATATATCTACCTTTAAGACACCTCATTCTAATGTTTAAACACTCTCTCAACTCTCCCATGGAGAAGATTATGTGAAGACAAAGTAGGGGCGTGAGCTCCTGTATGCATGAGCACAAAGCATTCCAATGATTTAACAATATCTGAAGAGGCTTGATTTCTACTTTCTCAGGTGCTACCTGCCCAAGGAAGCAATCATGGTGTCTCAGAAATTCCCAGCTTTATTGGAAGGTCAGGATATCACATTAACTAGTACACAGCTCTCAACACATACCCTGACACGATGATGTAATAAGCCTTAAGCCGTTGCCTACCGGACAATTGCTCTGGCCCAGGAAGCAGCACGATCCTTCCTGCAATGTCTCTGCTCTCCTTGAGGCCGTAAGAGGAGCTCAGTGCCGAGTGCTAGGAACTAAGGGAGGTGCTTCCAGGGTGGTAGTGGTCTAAACAAGGACGGGACGGCAGTTTGATGAGCAGGGTGAATGGGAAATTCATTACAAAGGAGACTCATGACATACATGAGATTGTAAGAAATCTGGGGCTACTGGATTTACCACCTAGATTTCTGAAACATAAATTAAGCCTACTGGACTGTGATACTCCTATTTTACACTATTCCCAGGGGGCCGGCACCACCATGCTGTTTCTTTCATTGAGATGGAGTTTCATAAACTTACTTGTTTCTCCTTTCATGAGATTATTATGTATCAATTGGTATACATTTAATGCAGTAAATATATTTATGGAGTAAATAAGAATAAACAACATAATCAATCATTTGCTACAAAATAGGATAAATTGGGCCAGACAAGATGACTCATTTCTACAACTCTATCTATTCTCGAGACAGACATTGGGAGGATCACACTTAGTCCAGGTAAATAAAAGGCTCTCAAGATCCCTTATCAACCAATAGTTAGGTGTGGTCATGTTCCAGGAACTGGCTTGGCTCAAAATGTGGGAACTTATCTAAAAAATAACAGAGCAAAAGGAGCTGGAGGTTGGTTCAGTGGCACAGTGCATACCCAGCTTGAGCTGGGAGCGGGGGGGGGGGGAGCAGAGGGGTAGAGGGAGAGAAAGAGGAAAAGAGAAAGGGAAAGATAGCAAAGTTAAGTAAAGAGGAGTTGGTGATAATTCAATGATAGAAACTACATGCATGTGCAAAATCTATATACCTGGAAAACTGAGTTTCTGGAAGCGTGCTGTGCAGGAAATATTCAATGAAAACTTCCCATGTGTTTGTGATCTCCACATCCAGAGCATTGCTTGGGGAAGAGAATAGATCTCTTTATGTAAGTGTCAGATGCATGGCCTGGAGGGGGATATAACAGCTGATGAAGAAAGTGCTTTCACAAAGCTGGGCACTGGTGGCTCAAGCTGTAATCCTAGTGACTCAGGAGGCTGAGATTTGAAGATCTCGGTTCAAAGCCAGCCTGGGCAGGCAAGTCCAAGAGACTCTTATCTCTAAATAACCACCAGAAAACCAGAAAGTGGCATTGTGCCTCAAAGTGGTAGAGCATTAGCCTTGAATGAAAAAGCTTAGGGACAGTGCTCAGGCTGTGAATTGAAGTCCTATGATCAACAAAAAAAGAAGATGCTTTCATAGAATTTTTTAATGAAATGTTTAATGAAAAGGGTTGTGACATATCAAATATTACTGCAAGGTGAACCATGATAAAGAGGAAGAACTTTTAGCTCTGCACTGGAATTGTGGCAGTAGCTCTACGTGAATGAAGCTCAATCCTGTGGGATCAAGGAAATATAGAGTGGCCAGGCTCGAAGAGTGAGGACAAGGAGAGGAAGCTGGGTTGAGCAAGGAAGCTGAGATCGGGAGGGAGACAGCGAGTGTTATGGGTTTTGTTTTGTTTTGTTTTACATTCTGAATAACGAAGCAGTTGATTGGACTCTGGTAAGAGAGCATTTGAGGAAGCAGAAGTGACAGAGAACAGAGCGAGAACTTTACCTTGAATCCTCTCTCTGGGGTCTGCCCACTTTTGACAGAACCTGACTTCTACAGACACATATTATAGAAAGGGACATGTAAAAACTAAAGAGTCTTTCAGACTCAAAGTGACTGATGAAGTTTCAGCTACTGCACCACTGAAGAGATCCTGGGATGGAGTTCCTGGGGATCTCAAATTACCCACAATACTGGCAGGCAGGGGCTCCACAGGCACTTCTGGTACTGATACACTATCTCCCAAACACAAAGAGAGATAAGGGCCAGTGCTGTGAGAAACGAGCCCTGACACAGACTACATTTCCACTCCCATATGGCAAAGAGCTAAGAGGTGGAACTATGGTAGAAAAATCCCAACTCTGATTTATAAGACACTTAACAATTTTCTTATGTATTTTCCAGTTTCCTTGTATGGCAGCAAGTCCAAATTTCAGTCTATGGCATGCTTTCCTGGGAATTGGTAAACATTCTTTTCTGCAGTAAGTTGGTTGTTCTTTCTAAGGAACTTCTATTTTAACAAACTGACATTGCTTTATAAATAAATAGTTACTATTTTAGGATGCTTGATTAGAGATCCAGAAATTTTATTTGGAGATAGTAAAATTAAGACAACTGACAGATGCCGCTGAATTAGAAGGAAGTGAAATTGATAAGTGAAATCTAACATTTAGAAATACAGTAAGTTACATAGCAAATTCACAAAAATAGATAAAAAATATACATGGTTGGGTATGGTGGCACGCTCCTGTAATCCCAGATACAGCAGAGGCTGAGATAGAAAAGTCACTTAAGTCCAGGTGTTTCAGGCCGCCTTAAAGCCTCATCCAATAAATAATAAGTAAAGCCAGAAGTATCCAGGTCCTTTTACCCTTTTCATTTGTACCCACTTCCATTTCAGCCTATCTACTTTAAAAAATGAAGATCATAATCCATTTTCCTAAGCTGATAGTTTAGGAGGCTTATTATCTACTGCTTGCAGAAGAGGATCTATGTCCTCTGATATTTATGTGCTTATTTTATTATATATTATATAATATAAAAATAAATAAAACACCTATTTTATTACATGTATGTTTTATTATCTATTTATATATGTTTATATCATATATATATTTTTTTTCTCCCTGGTACTGGGATTTAAATTATGGGCCTCATGCTCTTCACTCAGGGCTGGCATTCTATGATTTGAGCACACCTGCAGTTCTGGCTTTTTGTTCGTTATTTGCCCATAAGCATCGTCTGATTCATGTATCTGGACTGTCTCTGAAGTCCAGTCCTCAGATCTGTCTCTGGAATAGCTAGGATTACAGTATGAGCCTTAGTCCCCAGCTGCTCTCTGATTTTTTAGTCTAACCGAAGGTATTAAAGCAGTCTGCTGAATGATAAAATTTAGGATAAAAATGTATGTAACTGTTACTAAAATTAACAAACTTTCTTAGGCACATTTAAAATAATTTTTTCTGGAAATTACCTGTGCTTTTAAAGAGTTTGAGTATTATTAAAGAATATAGTCCTTTGTAAAGATAACATTATTTTATGGTTATGAAAACAAAGTGACTTAGCACTCCACAACAGCTAAACTTTGGGAGAGAAGGAAGGAATCAGTAATTGAGTTCTAGGGCTGTGAAGGACAGAAATGTAATTATAAAAACATATGAAGGCTGGACTGAGTGACTCATGCCTGTAATCCTAGTTAATCAGGAGGCTAAAATCTGAGGATCGTGGTTCGAGGCCAGCACTGGCAAGAAAGTCTGTGAGACTCCTATTTCCAATGCCTACTCAGAAAAATGACAAAAGTGGTAGTGTGGCTCAAGTGGTAGAGCTCTAGAGTTTGCACAAAGAAGCCCAGGCCCTGAGTTCAAGCCCCAGGACTGACAAAAAAAATATATGAATCAGAAGTTATAAAAAGCTTTAGCTTGGAGATGAATACAAAAGAACACTTTTTTAAATCTAGAAATTTCTAGAAATAACACAGTATTCCTTATGATTTGTAGTTTTGATTTGTGTCTTATCTCTACACCCACATTGACTAATAGATGTACTTAAGGGACATCTTAAATAAATGAAATTTGTTTGAAGTTGGACTATTCATTGAGCTCACTGTACCACTCCTCAGGAAATAGCAATAATCAGTAAAATAAATAAAACTTGTAGAGAAAGCACTGTCTGTTCTTTGTGAAAAAGGATAGGCATTAGCCAGTGTCTAAATTTGAATCATAACTCAGGCAAATAATTGTAGCTATAATTAAAGAGTCAACTAAGGAAATTACCTGTCTCTGAGTTCTGGAGGAGGGAGATGAATATGTCTAAACT